CAAGAAGCTCGGGATCACGGGAAATCCTAGTACCGCGTATCACCCGCAGATGGATGGGCAGACAGAACGAGTCAATCAGGAACTCGAGACGTATCTTCAGATCTTTGTCTCATACCGACAAGATGATTGGCTAGACTGGCTCCCAATGGTGGAATTCGCTCATCGAAACTGCAAACATTTGTCTACCGGCTTCTCACCCTTTTATTTAACACACAGACATGATGCCTTCACAGGTGTAGAGATGAGGAAGGAGATGAAAAATGAGTCTGCTTCACAGTGGGCTGAGAAAATGGCTCAATTGCAGAAAGAAGCTGGCTAGGTGCTAGAGCTTAGCAAGGAGTCAATGAAAAAATACTATGACTGCAAGAAGAAGGATGTGTAGGAGTATAAAGAAGGAGATCTGGTATGGGTCGAAGGGACCAATATCAGAACAGAAAAGCTGAACAAAAAGATGGACGGCAAGCGATACAGTCCTTTCCGTATTGAGAAAAGTATAGGTGCAAGCGCCTTTAAATTAAAACTACTGGTGTTGTGGAAGGGTATCCACCCTGTATTCAACGTGTCACTCCTTTACCCCTATGTTGAACCCACATTCCCTAATCAGGAAACTTCCTACACCGTGCCGCCACTTGTAGACCAACCAAACACTGTAGATGAGATTCTGGACTCTCGAGAACAAAAAAACAAACTACAGTACCTTGTGCATTGGACGGGCAAGCCCCGTTCTGAAAACACTTGGGAACCACATAGCGGACTATTACGTACCTCAAAGGACCTTTTAGATAGATTTCACAGGGACCATCCAAACGTGCTGAAAGCACTGATTATTTGTATACCACAATGAGTATGCTTCTCGGAAACGATAGAAGTAGTGGAGGGACCAGATGATCAAGAATGGGAAAAATGGGGCAACATATACCAAAGATGGCAAGAGCGCAAGAAATTGCACTCTTTACTATTACACACAAACCTTGAACCAGATGCTGAGCACATGATCCTACCAACGTGTTTGAATATCAGCCACATCTGGTTCTGCGACTCTCTTCATTGAGTTCGCTATATCGCGGTTGTAAATAGCCCATCTCTCCACAGCAACAAATTTGCCTACCCTATACAATCTGTCCTCAAAACCTGCAAAAATATTGTATGTACACACCCGGAAGTGCAGCTATACGAACATTCGAATAACTTACTGCTCATCATTGCACTCTGGTAGATGTCAACAACAATTGCCTTATGGATTTTATTTGGAGTCATTGCATGCGGATGCATGACTGGGACGTCCATCATACTGGCCAAGTGGTACCAACCATAATATGGGATGGAGCAGATCGAACTTGCCCCCCACCCTGAACACGGCTACACATCCATCATCATAAATCAGAACGTCGAACCACGGATCCCACCACCCATCTACATCCATAACCCAAGCAATAGAACCTTGTCGAATCCATGTCGTGAGGATGTGTCATTCTAAAAAGGGGGGTAATGTTACGGTTCTTTCATTTCGGATGCATTACTTCAGACCATGGAACCCTATCTCTATTTAGTTACTATATATATCCTATGTTCTCCCATGCCTATCCTCGGACCTTACCTATGTCACAGATATGCTTTCCCTTTCACAGATACACCCTCTCATGTAATATGTAGTGACTCATGCAGTTTGTTCAATATATAAGCAGGCTGAAGCTGAGGTCGTTCCTCAGTCTTCAGTTGGCCATTCAAAGCTAAGATATAGCTGTGTCACGAACTAGGCGAATCCCATCAACATGGAGTTTGTTCTTGCTAGGTTCACCACATTGCGGGATTCTCAGCCCAGCATCTTCTCCTGAATGCAGCTTTGCTGATCATTTTCTACTTGGGACTAAAAACCTTCTATGCAGTTCTCTTCAGTGCGAGCCCTAGCAAGGCACTGCCCGCTGCGTCGAGCGCACGCATTCGCAACACATGCAATGTCACCTGCTCAGCCTGTGTGTTGAACAGTGGGGACATGCAGCTCGCATGACGTTTTCCATGCTGACTGAACAGAGTGTTTTGCACTACCTACCGTCTGCACCCTTCCTTCTTTCACATAGCCATACACTGCAGTCTAGATAGAATCTATTCGACATAAAAACATATTTTGTCGGGCAAAAGCCAGCAGGCACCGTGTTCTGCTAAACTCTTCCGCATGAAGACCAGTGGCTGTCATCAATCAAATTATAGAGAGAATAATATGCCTCGATAGTACCACACCATGAGATGGCTGATCACGCACTGTTGTGCATTTGTCACACCTAACTTGGTATATACTCTGTGTCACAATGCTATCAGAATCTTATCTCATGCATTTGCATCAGTGTTGGGCCAGTTGTCTGCCAGTCACCCCAGTCATTCCCGTGACTGAGGCAATTAGTCAATGACTGTATAACAGTCGAAAAGTCACAGCGATGTTTCCCACGGCTTGGGCAGACACAGCCCGATATTCATGTGCACAATTCTGGTATGCAGGCGCTCAAGGAGGACAACTCGCACAACACTGACTTAGATGTGAGTGCTGAGTTACTGCTCACAGAATAAAACATATATTCTCATACTGCTGTACATACTAGTGCTGCACTCTACTACATTCCCTATTATCTTGTCGCTGAATCTCCTTCAACATCTGCATCATGTCTTGTTGCGCACACCCTGTGGCTGAACAGTCTCCAGCATGGGAATAGTCGCCAGTGTGGAAAAAGTTGCCATCGTTTGTAGTCGTTTCAACTGGCATCATGCGACTAAATGCCAGTCGCACGATCATTGGATGACTCGCACAACACTGATTTGCATGGAGCCCAAGGCCTTTGGTTCATGCATGGAGCTCGCATACTTTAGTGCATGTACATAGCTCATTGGGTGCTTAACAATGATTGCACATACATCTGCTATACAGCCCTGCTGCAACGTAAAGACAGTCAACAATTGACGCCATCTTCTGGAGCTGAGTAGAGAGAAGTTCTTGAGCATAAGATTAACCATAAGATTAACTGGTGTTAATACTTGCAGGATACCTGCACAGGGCGTCCACCTCATGACACGTCATGCAGGAGACACAGCACTTCAGCCATCTCCCTCAGCGCGAGTTTGTACAAGTGAATCTGCCTTTTTCATGTCTCTGGGGATCTTACGAAGGTCTATAAGGCTTCTGTATTTTTTTAGACACAGCAGCATGAGGTACCAGCTGCTGTACTCAATTTTCTTAATTTTCTGAATTGTTTGAATTTTAAAGCCCGCAATGCGGGCTTCGGACATAAATTTCGGAAACTGTTGTAATATTGCTTGCGGGAGCAGATAGCGATGGGGTAGACCTCTGAACACATGCACAAACATTGAGACGTCAGCATGGATTACTATCCACCAAGGATAGTAAAATCTCTGGGGGATGAGAGCACATCACCCCGAGGTGCCGAGCGCCACTCTGTTCCATGCTGCCTATGTGTACTTTTTGTGAGAAAGGTCTATCAATATTGGTTTTGCTGTAATGTTACCTGTCTTTGGTCTCAGTCTTGACCCCTGCAAGAAATCTAACCAAGCCACCCTGAGTCAGACGCTGATGACACCTTTGACAGATGCATGCCGGCATTAGCTGTCAACGAGCAGTGAGTCGCGTAGTCGAGCTATGTATAAAGCACTATGGCGAGAGCAGGGGTAATAGCAGGCTCCTTCCCACCGCTGTGGGAGTTATAGGGGCTCAATCTGACAAATTTGATGCAAGCTAAGTTCTACAAACCCATCCGCCACACTTGCGCCACAATCTGGCTACATCCGAGGCAAGATCAAACTCCGATTCCCAACCTTAAACCCCCATAACTCCCTACAGCAGCTGGCACAAAACATCTACAAACAGCGGAGGAGCAGCACATGTCACCTAGGTTAGAAAGGCAGGATACTGGCCCATAATTACATAATTGTTATGGTCCCGTGTATTACAGTAGTGTTTATGTGTCCCAGTGTCGAGTCTCGTCGTCCTCAGTGCAACTTTGTGACCATGGCCTTCACCCCTCTAATAAAAATTTTATACCTGGCTTTGACACAGATGCGTGCATCCCTGCCGAGGTTAATTTTTATCCTTCTGACTGGTGAAGGCCTCATGCAACACCCCTTCATTGAATAACCCATCCTCGGCCTGGCTGGCACTTCAAGTTCAGCACTCTCCATGCACCTGCGACCCAGGTTCTCGACTTTTGCACTGATAATGTGGCTTCCAAGAGGCAAAGTGTTGCGAACAATGGGCTTTCTGTGTGTCGTTGTTACATTCACTCATGGGGGTTGTGATGACCTCAATTGACGAAATTGAAATGTTTGGGTGTCAATTATCATTTCCGGGAATCAATCCTGCCTCGTATGGGAGGTGCAGCACCGGTCCTCCGCTGTTTGTAGATGTTTTGTGCCAGCCGCTGTAGGGAGTTATAGGGGATTAAGGTTCAAATGGGATGTCACATGATATGCACGTGATGGGATGGCACATGATCTGTGGTAAGACTTCTATTCTCGGATACACAAGATAAAACATTGAGTACGCTATTCGGATGAAGTCCTCTATAACTCCCACAGCGGCGGGAAGGAGCCTGGGGTAATAGTAGCTCCAGGAATTGAGGCCACAACCATCTTTTGACCAGAAACATCGTCTATCTACTGTGATGCGCCAAGCGACAACCGCAATTCTCAAAGCTTGGAGAGCGGGGCCATTCGCGATCCTCCCACTCTTTTTTCTTTACGCGTTCTCCTCCGTTCTAACAAACCATTACAGCTTTGTTCTATATCAGAATCTACATTGTGATGCATATCGCACGGTGAATATGTTGAACCAGACATACAACCAGACTCAAGACAACACCTTTAACTGCTACTCTCCCGACGTGAATAATGCGGTTCGCATCAATGTAGGCCAGCAGCACATTGCCCTGACTATCTTAGGCGCCGTCATGTCTGGAATATATGGCGCCTTGTGCGATTCACGAAGCAGAAAGTACGTCATGGCCGCAGGAACGGTAGTCAGAGCCATCAGTGACTTTCTGTTATTTCTTTGCCGTGAGTCGGGTGCTACTTAAGGCTTGGTTCCTCACCATGCTTGCTAACCTGTGCAGTCAGATCGTCAGTTCTTACCACTGCCAACGCCGTCCTTCTTACTGCTCTATTCACGGGCCTTGCGGGCGGGAGCTATGTGGTCCCTACAGCCCAATTAGCTTTCCTCACCGATACATCATCCCCTACCAAGCGGACCTTCGTACTCGGCCTCGCCTTGGCGATGATGCCAATAGGTGGATTCGCAGCACTCATCCTTTCTTCGGCCTTGACCGCATTCAAGCTACATGGCGTAGCCTTCAGTGTTTCAATGTTCACACATTTGACATACCTCGCTTATCTCACTTTCTTCCTGCGCGAACTCCGCAAGCCACCCCAGCTCGAAGCGGTTGCTCCGGAAGAAAAACAATCCTCGATGAAAAAACGGGTATCAAAAGGAGCATGGTTCCCTCCAGTGGTCATGATATTCTCTGACTCAACACTTCGCTGGCTCGCTACGGTGGCATTTTGCCTTTCACTTGTATCGCAGATCCCGAGCACAGTTCAGTCAGAGGTCGGCGAACATCTAGGTGTGATGCCTCTAAGAGTGAGTCGTCAGTCTACTTTTTCGATGGATAAACCTCAAGCATAGTGCTCACAGATCTTTGTGACTGAATTAATCACTATGATATTAAGGGGATTGGTCGCACTCTGCCTCGTCCCTGCCTTCGTATTGCTATATCGAAAGTATGCCACACGACATCAGAGAACGCCAATCCAGGGCTGGACAACGCAAGACGGGCCATCTATCGTGGATATTGGACTCGACAATGCTCCCAAGGGCGCAAATCTTCACGGGGACAGCATCGTAGACGTTGGATCTGGGAAATCCAGGTTCGATTGCAAAGTGGCAGTCCGACAGGAGCTATTGCTTTGTCTAATATGCTTCGTCGTGAAAGCGATGTCGCTCGCTCTGATACCGCTAAGCAGGAATGCATCTCACTTCAGCGTGGGTGAGTTTCCAGTAATTCTCTTGGACAACGTACATGCCCTAAAGTTTTGCTCAGCATATATCGTCGACGCGTTCAGCTCTCCTGTAGATGCCTCTCTCTTCACGCTCACCACGCTGGCAACAGAGCCAGGCCAGATTGGACGTGTCCTCATGGGTGTTAGCGTGATAAAGGATATCGCGCTTGCATTACGCGAGCCTCTGCTATCCGCCATCTCCAAAGCGATTTTGGAAAAAACACCATTCACAGCATGCTGGTTCGCTGCGGTGAGTTTGCAATACTATCCTGATTCTGTCATGTCTCATCTATGTGCTCAGGGCATTTGCGTCCTATGTGGTATCATGATCGCGAGACTACGTCCTGAGATGTTTCGCGAGGACGATAGGCATTGAAGACTTCAGCGGAGCCGCTGGAGGGGCGACAGCGATGAAGCATTGGAGAAAGGACACTCACGCTGTAGTCTCGTTTGCATCCCACCAAAATGCGATAAATGGCAATCATATTTCTCTTGAGGAGGCTCGAAATGTCAGGCTTGTTGACATCTTGAATGACCTTACGTTGATTGCTATATTCGGGGGGAGGGTCAGTAAAGTAAAGTATACTAGATGTGCATAGAAAATCCGGTTTTTATGTACGCCACTCAGTAACATACACCTCAAGCAATTCATATGCATCATGAGATACATCGTCAGTTCGTTCGCCTTGGAAGAGCCTGCCACCCTTTCTTGAGCCCCATGCGCTCGATGAGACTTGCGGGCATGCAATATACAGGATCGAGGTCATTAAGACCCGGGTAGCCGAGCAGAGATAATCCTGTCGTTAAACATATATTGAGCCTGCTGCCGACGCAGCTAGAAAACGACGCAAACCTGCGACCCCGAACTGCGTGTGGAAGACGTCCGGTTGATCTCCGGGACGGTCTGCAATTCCGCCATGCTCCAAGTCCTGGTGACGTTCAGCCGCTCTCCCGTGTAATTGGCAACAGCACACACACCTGGGCGGACAGGATGAATGCCGTGACCTTTTCCGCGTCAATCCATGTGAGCTTGTTCAGGATCGAGAGCGAAGAAAGCACCCAGTGGCTATAGCATACCTGTGACATACACGAGATGATGGTATCAGCGAGCACAGAAAGGCAGGTATATCAGACACGGACATCTTCCAGCTTCTCCGGTCTCCCATTCAGGCCGCCACTCGGGAGCTGACGCTCTGCGAGCCACCAGCCAAGTGTTTCATGATCAATCTCGTCCAGTCTGTCCAGGATGGCTAGCGCAGCCGTACAGACCCACACTGTGCACGTGTTAGGTGGGACCCAAGGCAGAGAGATCATACAGGACACGCACCCATGGCAGCATGGCTCTCCGCCCCGATGCACGCTCCAAAGCCACCGTCAAAGTTGCGACACTTCCGAATGTATCCCACTGTCTTCTCGACGTCCAGCTTGTCCAGCTGGCCCAGCAGCGACAATGCGTTTACAGCACAGTACAGGAAGCGCGTATCGATCTCGCCGAACGAGTCGCCGGAAAACACGCCGGACTCCTGTTGTAGCGAGAGGATGACTGTGATGCCTTGAGCTCCGGTAGAGAAGGGATCTGCGGCAAGTACTCACAGTCTACGACGCGAGGTACGTCCAATCTATCGAGTGCATCTTGCATGATGAGGATTTGTATAGCACTCAGAGTGGAGTGGATATGCGCGTCGTGGTCCGGGTGCGCCCCGAACGCCCCTGAAGTGGGACAAGGGATCATCAGCCGTCAGTTCATAGGCGCAAGCAGGGAGGGCAAACGGACCTAACCTGCGTCTTCGTCCCAACAGCTCATGACAAAATCAATCACCTCCTCGCGGTCGAGGGCTTCTTTGTGATTCATGACACAGAGGGCGGTCAGGCCCCAGTAGATTGCGTTCATGCGCAGATGGGCCGTAAGGTGATACGTAAGATCATCCTTGTTCTGCGGGGTTGTTAGGAGGAGGACAAAAGAACGTACAACACGCCTACCTCACCCAAGGTTTTGATGTACTTTACATGAAGGGGAATATCTAGTTGCGCTAGAGAAGCTGAGGTCATGGTGGTCGTAAGTCACTATCTAGATCTAAGCTATGTCGTTGAGCGGATCTGTGAAGCGCCGTTTGCCGCAGAAATTCACCGGATATTTTCCAACCCATTGTAGAATTCACAAAGGTCTGAGTTGCGGCAGATGAACGTGCAAGTAGTGTAGATTGAGATATGCTAGTAGATACAAGGGTAAATTGTAACGTGCCACGACAATATGAGTCATGGACAAGGCACACAGTAAATAAAGCATCCAGAGTCGCCCTAAGGATATGATACAAGTATTCCACTTTCGATCCAAGCCCATTAACGGCAGTCGACTGCCTTTGCGGTACTTTTGGGTCCCGATCCGCCGGCGTATCCCAACACATCGCGCCTAGCTCAAGCCGCTACTGCAATAGCGCGTGGCTGCTCATCGGCAATGGTGAGGTGCTCAAGGGCATCCTCGAAGTGATCGTCATCGCTGTCTTCATCCTCGCCGGCGTCATCGCTTGCAGCCTGACTTTCATCCTCATCGTCTGAAGGTTCGTCCTCATAGTCAAGCTGATCGGGTTTGTCAGTCCGGCGGGCACAGATAAATGTAGGATAGTAAAACACACGGGGTCGTATATGACACGAATGACGAGGCTGCAACTAGGGCAGGTCGCGACGTCCTCGTAGTTCTTGAGCTGCTTGCGGGTTATCTCGAAGCGGTCACCACAGGGGCATGGGTAATGGTAAACGCGCTTCTCCTCATCCCAAGCCATGTCCTCAATTTCGACCTCGTCATAGTATGCGCCCATAGCTGCTAGAGCAGTGCGGGGAAAGCAAAGCGGGCGGTCAGGTCGTAGAGAAAGTGAGGGTGTAAATCAGATGCCAAACTAGAAATTGTTTGGCAACTGATCCAAACAACCGACATTAAATTGATCGCCACGTGCAACTCTATTTCTCTGCTCCGTTGTTTCGGTGCCCTCCGCGACTTGTGCGACACCATCTTGGCTCTTCGACACATACATATGCGGAGTGCTGTGCTAGGATCTCTTCGAAAACAGAGAACTTGGGATCGCGGGTATGCATCTCTAAAACGGAGTCAAGATGTCCATTATGACGGTTAGTATCTTCCACACGCGCGTGAGGACTCTAATTTGAGGACTCTCTTAGTTTGCGTCATCGGTGGTGGTCATGCGGGTTGTGAAGCGGCTGCAGGCGCAGCACGTACGGGGGCGCGTACTGTACTGCTAACCCAGAAGTTGGACAATATCGGAGAACTGTCATGCAACCCATCCATGGGTGGTGTGGGCAAAGGCACCCTGATGCGCGAGGTGGATGCTCTGGATGGATTATGCGGGCGCGTGGCAGGTACGTATGTGTATATATGCGCCGCTTTTTTCGGACTTAGCGACTTGACTTGCGCAGACCAGGCTGGCATACAATTCCAAATCCTGAATCGCTCGAAGGGGGCCGCAGTATGGGTACGTCGGGGAGTACCAGAAGCTTGCTTCAGACTAATTGGGTTGGCGACAGGGTCCAAGAGCTCAGATAGACAGGACATTGTACAAGCAGCACATGCAGGCAGCCCTGCACAACTACCCGAATTTGGACATTCGCTCAGCGAGTGTGTCTGACTTGGTCTTCGATCATGATGTGGGCTCGACTTCTGCGCACGCGCAGTGGGGGACAGTAGGAGGGGTCAGGCTAGGTATGCACACCTGACGCTATCTGCAGATAAGGGCATTAACGCATTCTCAGATTCGGGGGAGGTCATTAAGTGTTCCCAAGTCGTTATATGCACCGGGACGTTTCTCTCTGGAGAGATACACATTGGTACGAGTGCTATGCATCAGTCTTCCATACCCGTCTCACCATTATGACAGGCATGAAACGGTTTCCTGCTGGTCGAATAAATGAGGCTCCGTCAGTTGGTCTATCAGGATCTTTACGGTCGGCCGGCTTCCAACTCGGTCGTCTGCAGACAGGCACGCCAGCCCGACTGTACAAAGACAGCATTGACTTCCGGAATCTTGAACAACAACGGGGCGACAGCACACCGCATCCTTTCAGCTTCATGAACAGTAGTGTATCCAACGCAGTGCGTTTGATTGGTCATATGTTTTTGACGGGCTAAACTGACGGGCTTGGAAGGACAACCAGATTTTGTGCTATCTCACATATACAACGCCAGCAACACATCAGATGATACGGGATAACCTGCACCAGAGTGTTCATATACAGGAGACAAAGAAAGGTACGAGTGGTGATCCCGCTTCGAATTGCGGTTCGAGCTGACACGCTACCGAGATAGGGCCTCGATATTGTCCCTCTCTCGAAGCGAAGGTCATCAGGTTTCCTCAGAAAGACCAGCATCTTGTTTGGCTCGAACCAGAAGGCTATGACTCTGGTGAGTCGGCTCTGCCACAGTGGCTCAAATTAACTCACGCATTGGTCCTCTTGTGTCCTCCAGAATTGATCTATCCGAATGGCCTCTCGTGCAGCATGCCAGAAGAAGTGCAGCTGATGATGTATCGTACGGTACCCGGGCTGGAGAATGTCAAGCTGGCGCGGCCAGCATATGGCGTTGAATACGACTACGTTGACCCACGGGAGCTAAAACGTATTTAAATTCTATATCGGTTTTTTGCGGGTAACTAGAGCTGATGGTCTCCGTCATAGCGACCTTAGAGACCAAGCGGATCAAGGTATGCTATCAAGTTATCTTCGTGTCAGCGAGTTTCCTCAAATCACGAGTAGGGTCTTTTCTTGGCTGGTCAAATTAATGGTGAGTATATTTCCCACAAGTACTTGTGTGTACCCAATACTCACGCTTCTTGGTAGGTACAACAGGATACGAAGAGGCTGCAGCTCAAGGAGTTCTTGCGGGCATCAATGCCGGCATGTCTGCCTTGCACTGTGCGCCACTTGTGCTGTCGAGGGCCGATGGGTTCATTGGTGTCATGATTGACGACCTCACCATGAAAGGAGCAGAGGAACCATGCAAGTTTCCGTCTATCTTGTCAATTTTGAGCGTATTGTGACCTGGCCACAGATCGGATGTTCACCTCTCGGTCTGAATATCGCATGACCATCAGGAGTGACAACGCTGACTTGCGTTTGACAGAGAAAGGTATGGCTGTTGCATGCTGCGAGATTGGGTATCGCTCACTCGATGTGCATTGACAGCGCGGAACGCGGGGGCTATCACGGACGAACGATGGAGGCAATTCGAGGCAACGCGTGAAGAGCTCACACGCGTGACGGACTTGTTGAAGTCTCACGTACTCAGTCCGCAGGTAAGCAACATATCCAGTAAGTCATCTCTGTTGACGTCGCATATATGGCCTCGTGCATGCAGGCTTGGCAAAACATGGGATTTGATGTCAAGAGCGATGGGCATATGAGGAGGCAGGTAATTTCCAGCTTCCCTCTCTATTCGTCCTGACGCTCGTTGTCCGCTAGTGCATATGACATGCTACGCCATCGGAGCGTCACAATCGAACAATTGTTCCTTGCCATACCTGAGCTCAAACTAGTGGACTCTCGTATCCTCACACGTGTCGAGATTGAGGGTGGGTCAGTTCTCCCTCAAGAGTCGGTGTTCCCGCTCATCATTTTGTAGGCATCTATCGTACGCATCTGCGTCGCCAGGAAGCAGACCTTCGTGTCTTCCTTGAAGACGAGGGACTCACGCTCGATCCTCATCTTGACTACGAGATTGTAGAAGGACTTAGCTCCGAAGTCAAAGAACGGCTATACCGCGTGAGGCCCACGAGTATCGTAAGTACGGGTGTGATTCTTTCATCATTGCACGGTGCTAACACTCTGTAGGGTGTGGCCAAGCGGATGGAGGGCATGACGCCCACTTCGATCGTTTCACTGTTGAAGTTCGCCAAACGGACTCGAGGTCGCCCCACGACGTCTGATATAGCACAAGCTGCCTGATATCCACAATATTAGTACACACATACCACTACTTACACTCTAACGCGAATGGGCTATAACACTACTTGCGGCCATCTCATTGCAGCAGCCGGCGGACCCCTTAAACATCGTGTTCGCTGTCTTTGATCGTACCGGCGGCTACTTGAATCTGTGCTGGCGGAAGATCCGGATTCATTGCTTTGCGCCATTCGGGATCATACGGTCTTGAGTGCAGCAGACCTTGGCCAATCCCATCTGCAATAAGCCAACCCTGAAGTTACCTGCATGCACACCAAAATCAATCCGACTTACCATTACCCAACCGCGGTCCCGCACCTTCACCATACACCATTACAAGGAACGGGACTCTCCCGCATGCATTGCTACTGGCATCCATCTCGTCCAAGAGGTCTTTGCAGAATTTGGGACCTTCACCAGGATCCAGGCACATCTTGCGTTCAATCTCACTGTAGACGTCTGTCATGCGGAATACGCCACAGCGCACGACGCGAAACTTGTCCCGTGCTTCTGTGCCGGCTTTTGGGGTGTACGCAACTTCCTCGAAAATCATATGCTTCCTGCCGCGCTTCTGGTCGCGATGCAAACTGAGCGCGCTGACGTACGGCCAATGATCTACGACATCAAGCCACCCATGGAAGTCCTTTTGTTTCTGGGCTGCAGAAGAGTCGGTCATTGAAAGCGCTGCAAGCTGCTCGTTGAGCAGGGCGTAGTCCCTGTAAGGATTGGCGATAAACGAAGAGCGTCATCAGACAGTTCGTGTGCATCTACTCACTGACACCCGTTCCTGACAACGAGAGCAGACTCAACTGTCATTCACAGTCAAATAGAGATGTTACGTACTTGTGATACTGCCAGTTCGCTTTTTGGCAATCTCGAGAACTGGAAGAGAGTTGAACGCTTATTAATCATAGATTGAAGAGACACATACCAGTAGTAAAACTTCTTGCATTTGCTACAAACGGCCAACTTAGTCATCGGTTCACAAGCACCGCATTGTCTGCACTGTTTCGCAAGGCGGAGGTCAGTCTTGTCTGTGTGTTGGCGACTGTCCAGCCACGATGGCCCGCCCAATGCATCGAGCACCGGACTACCTCCTGTCTCGCCTGGAGGAAGTAATAACAATCGCAGAGCGTGTTCAGAAATAAGGTGAGGATTTTTGCGAAACCACTTTGTCAGCCATTCCTCGCTATGAAGACGTCATATCACTGGAGGCTGAACGGCAAGCTCAACAATAACACTCACTGCTTCTCTGCAGCTTTTGTCTTTTCACGACGGCGTAAGACTCGCGCAAGGTAGACTTTGGTCGTCACGAGGGCTTTGAGGCCAGCCATAGACGCGTCGTTGATTTGTGCGAGGCGCTCGAGGATCGCCTGTGCATCTTTGTCATTGGTACCGCTGCGGACGAGGGCTCCCGCGAAAATTAGAAAGATCTCCCTGTTGCGCATCAGTCATGGAACCCACCTCGCTCGTCGAAGTACACACCTTTGTTTCACAAAGGGATCTGCGCCGTGAGATGTCCTCTTGACGAAGTCAATCACTTCCACGAGATATACAGCAGCGTCGACAGGTCTGTCTATTGCTGGCTTTCTGCAGGGTGTATATAGTTAGACTCCCATAACCTCGTTCATATAATCTTTCAGCTTACAGCAAGTGCACTGCTACTTTCAACTTCGTGTTCAAGCGCTGCCAATACAATCCACTGTCAATTCAGCATGAGCAATGGTCTAGTCGGAGACGTACAAGCGATTCCATCGCCGAGCCCAAATTATGATCTGGGGTGTTACGAGTAATATGACCAATAGCACGTAGCTGCTCCGCAGTGCACTCGTTCAACTCCCGTATGAACATTTCCAGAGCCCAGATGCAATTTCCCAGCAGATCCTCGGGGACTGTAAATTGTGCGTCTGAGTATCGTGGAAAAATTGAAGGCGTATCATGTACCATCATCAGTATGTACGAAGAAACTGTATGTGAAGAGATTCTGCAGCATGGCATGATATTGAGCGGACTTGGGAAGGTTCGTCATCAGGTTGCCAGTGCGAGAGTCTTTTATGACTATAATCTCTCTATCATTCCTTCCCTCAGGCCTCGTTAAGAAAGCAACTTGAGAAGAGTTTGAATAAGTCAGATGGGCACCGATGCGCCCATGAGGAAAACCCACCGCGAGCGGCATCTCGACGGACTGATGCGATATCCGGGAGTGGTACTAGCGTATAAATGCCACTCAGAACAAGCTGAACCCGACCAGACTTTTGCAGGTCAGACATTGTGCTCGTAAAGAGCGAAGGTGAATGCGAAACGTCAAGGATGAAATTAGAGCTGTTCACAGTACGGTTTGAGCATATTATCAATTACCGCCTGCTTTCAGAGGTGTTAGGGTTGCTCAGTTCTTCGTTCGTTCGCGGAGCACTTTTGGTAGTTCCAACTCCGGCGGCCGAGTGGCAGCCACTGACAATGACATGGCGAACTTCAACCGCTAGTCTAATGGTATTTCAGGTTGTGCAGTACGCATAAAATATGGACAATGCTACAGCTCTATATGAGACTCTGAGGTGATTAGGAAATGATTTAGCGATTAGCTGGGACAGCCGCTGATGAATACACGGAGACTGAAGTATCTCCCCATGCCGGAGACACTTCAATCTCCGTCATAGGGAGATACTTCAGTCTCCGTGTATTCATCAGCGACTGTCCCGATTAGCTTGTACTAGTGTATGAGTTGACTACATGAACCAAGAAAAAAAATCGTTCTCTAATATATGTGTTCCCAACACAACACTAATTGCGCATGAAGGGTCATTGACAGCAATAATATCTAAAAGCGGGACATATATATTGATTATGTAAGCCTTTGGGCAGTGCGCGGACAATGCCGCATACGCTCGGTCATCGACCGAGGCGCGGAATCCAGCGCGGAATCCGAGCTTGAATCTGCTCGAATCCGCGCTGGAATCCGTACTGTGAACGCCCCTATTGTTATGAAAATGATCTAACCATCAACTCGAATACAGTGGCGTCTGGATACAGCCACATGCAGATCGTTGATCAACCCCTGGAAGCTAAAGCACTACAATTTTTCTGCCACATCAGAATGAGACGTAAATGCAGTGTTGGGTGCGGATCATGCCGTGTATCATGGATCAGCATCATTTTCTGCGCAATTCATGGGAGATGCCATGTCGAGTAGATGGCGAATATCACCTGGGCGTGCCTCAGGCCCGGCCAGCGCGCTTTCCATCGCTCGACGCAAGCCACTGCACTCGCCCTTAGGATTCTTCACTGTTGTCAAAAAGAACACATTGCGCTGGTTGGGAGCATCCAGCCATGCTTGTATCTCCCAATCATGTTTCTTGGTGGTACCTGCATCTCCATCATGGAAGTTCTTCCGGCTGGGTCATCACTATCACCGCTTCTCCAGGGTCTTAGAGCGAGATGAAACTCGGGGCAGCACGAGGCCCATAACATTAGCGGTGTTTGACGCTGCTATGCGATGTGCTGTTGGTCACTGACAGGAACGCACGCGATGGCAACGCGTTTCGGATTGTGGTAAAGTTTTATGCAATTACGGAGTATGTCGGGTGGTTTTCTACCCGATGCGCCTCACAGAGGATAAAAGAAGCAGGGCATCGACAGGGAACAGCATCGCTGTGCGGTCATCTCTCTCGCATCCTTTTCATTTCTTCGGTGCCGGACAGTGAGTCTTCAACATCTGCTTTGCTTTTGCCATTACTGACCTATTTTCAGCCTTTCCTGTTTTTCCTTCACGATCCCAATTTCAATCTAAGTTCCAAATCACCTTACGATTAACACGATGCACGCCTACTCGTACATTCTTTTCCTTGGCCTTGCTGCCTGCCAGTCTGTTCTTGCTGCGCCGTTTGGCTACAGTGACTATGACAGCCTCTTGTATGTTCATTATCATCGTCGATGCAGCTGAATACTAATCGTCCCTTCCCCATCCAAAGTGCTCGTGCAGGTCGCCCTGAACTGTACCGAAGCGGAAATGCGGGTGGGCCGAAGTTCGACAACATTCGCCCCAATGATATCAAGCCGGTGGATGGGAAATACAAGCCTGGTATGCGCATAGATACACTCTTTTTTGTATGCCTATTGACACAATTGGCAGGTACGGGCGGTATCTCGACGTTCTCTGACCTTGGTCAGTTGAAGGGCCAGAAGAACATCTGGGCCCTTCCGGCGTCGGCGGACTTAGGTTCACATCTCAAGGCTGTCAATGACCACGACAAGCACTGGTCTATTCAGCCTTCGACTGAAATCACCGAGGAGGAATACAAGTCGGCTTTGACCGCTCTCAACGGCAAGGCGCAGAAATACGTCGCCCCAAAGAGGCGTGGATATTCGGACCTTGAGGCCCGCGAGTACATCGACTACTTGTTGTGCGCTTATGTCCCTTTGTTAAGTTGCAACAGTATTGACTGTTGCTACTTTTAGTGCGCGTGCCTCGCGGCCTGACTTGTACCGCAGCGGCAGCGGTACTAGTGCGCAGTTCGACAAAGTTCGCGACAAGGACATTCCAGTCGAGGATGGCAAGGTCAAGCCTGGTAAGTCGAAGGGGTGTTTGTTAGCTGGGTCAGTTCTCTGACTGCGCTCAGGTAACGGTGGTATCTCGACGTTCTCAGACCTCAGCGCATATAAGGGCAAGAAGAATATCTACAAGCTTCCTGCGTCTGCCAACCTTGGTTCGTTGACTGCTGTCAACGACCACGATGATCACTGGTCGATTGAGCCTGCTCACGAGATGACGCTCGAGGAGTATAAGACAGCGCTTGAATCGCTGAACCACGAGGTTGGGCCTAAATTCACGGTGCCGAAGTCACGTCGTGCTTTACACGACGACTTCGAGGCGCGGGAGTACCTCGCAGCCCGTGACTGGGATATGTACTAAGCGTGACGACTCGTTTCACTTTGGGAAAACAGGATCGGTGTATTCTACAGCATGTAATTTCCTTACGACAACATCGATGACATGATTTGGATGCGATCTTGATGTGTGCCGTTTGTGTGAGGTTTCGTTGACTATGAATATTGCTATTGCAAGATGGCTGCCTCGGCTTCTGAGCGTTGACCATCATAAGAGTTGATGGTTCTAAGTACTGTGATGCTGCACAGTGCATTGTTGTAATCCTGAATTCACAAAATAGCGAGCGCTACCGTGACTGCTTTCAGCCATGTTGCCCATGCTACTGTAGAGGTCTACTAACTCTCTTGTCTTTTCTCCTACTTTCTAGCTGATTATTTACATAACTGGAGCTTCCCAGCTGACCTCCGATCCGGGACTACAACTCTGCCTGAATTTGGTGCGCACTGAGATGAAACGCGATCACGTGAGCGCGAGTCCGCGCAGTGTATGCTCAAGAGTTCAAGTCTCATGGCTACCAACTTTAGCTTGTAAAAGGTCCAAAGTTATGCAAAAGTCTCCATTGCATTATGCCTCAACTGCGCCGCTTTCAAAAACGATATCATATCTGGGTCGACAAATCAACCAGGGCAAAATCCCATATTCAGTCCGCTGGCGAACTACTTGAGATTCGTGGCCGTACCCCCTCTACTTTCTCACTGTGCTATCTCTTACGTGTTCACGCTGTATTCGCGCACAATCCTGCTAATGTTTGTCACTAGTTCTCTATTGCAGGCAAGCAGTAAGTGGATGGTCCCTGATGCTGAATAAATTAATATCAATGAGACCAGTGTTCTACCACAGCGGCAGTCAAGCCATTCATGGTGGCGCTACGGGCTTGCGTGTTCTGAGAATTTTGTGACATACAATTCGGGTGGGCATGCGGAATTCTAGCCAGAATTGTGGTTGCAACTGGCGTAATGTATCCTCAGGGCGCCCGGTCCCCTACCATTATCGCTCGTTGAGTTTGCATCCGATCTGACAATAAATCAATGGATGACCCAAGGATAGTATTCACCATCAAGGCTATGCCTCGAGCTAGCTTTGATACGAACGTCATCATTGCGTTCATTACTGGTATGCTACCACATGATGCGGATTTCTCATCGGTGGCAGAGTCGCTTTGATCAGAACAGTGGTCAGAAGAATAACTGCATTCGTAGTCAATCAGCGAGCATCTTCGCAGTCTTGCCGCGAATGCAGCCACAGGTGCTCGAGGCCCCGCGTATCCAACCTCTGTTGGTTCGTGGTGGCATTCGCGATCATGACTGCACCTGCCAACCACGAGAACAATGTAGAGGATCAGCCCGAAAACCGCATGAAGAAATCATTGACATTCACGATTGTGTTAATTCGACATGGTCGTCGCGTTATATGACTCACTAGGGGGTTCCCTCCCTCATCTCGCTGCAGAGGCAATCCGCTATGATCAAACAGATGAGAACAGACGATGGAATATCTAGAAAGACCCTCAGTCAAATAGCAAATTCGACCTTATCGGCATGGCTGAAGTTCTGCTGGATTAATCACGGTTTCTCGGCCCACACCGACCAGTGAAACGGTCAAAGGGCTACAATGATATTATATGCATGGAACAAACCGAGAAGACGGCCACGAAAAGACAAGTGATAATACAGAGATACGCGAGAGATCGAGAACGATGCCGATGTCACGCTAAGCCTCCGACCTCTATAGATCAACGGTAAGTGGCAATACTCTCGTCGAAATGGCCCGGGGAACGAGCAAACATGTGACTTACGTTCCACCATTACATCGATCGTGTCTGAGGCGGGATACGATGAGCATCAGGCTCTGGAATTAAGGTAGGAGCACGCACCGTTGTCTTCCATATCCAGCGACGCGGGTGTATCGTCGTCATTTATTCTTGTACCATCATACAGAAATCTGTATATCGTAAAGTTAGTGAAACGAGGAGCGCGTTGATGCGGTATGAAGGGAGTTCGGTGGCGAATCACTCCCTTGTGCCACCGATATGCGGCGGTTGCAGGGTCGCCACACTCGACACCGTAATGGCAAGACGACGTACCGGATACTATTCACATCCTTTCCAACTTTCGCAGCATACGCTCCTTGGAGCTTGCTGAGCTTCGTGTTCCGCTTGATCTTGAAGAAAACTTCCTCGCCCGTCTGTGTGGTCACCTGGATTGCGACGCAATCAAGCCAGATATCAGCTACCTGAGCCAGAAGATACACCAGAGTCCTAACCTTGATGTTAATGGGCGCGTTGGCCTCCTCGGCTTTAGGCTCAACGTCTTGCGTGTGCGCTGGTTGTTCGGCGTCAGACATAGCGTGGATTTAATTCGCAGGAATTCGTGAAGGTAGGAGTCAAGATGGCGCGTTCCAAATGACCACTGTTGCGGCGAGTGGTCAAAGCCTACCGCGAGCGTCTATTGTTACGTAATACTCGTACGCCGGTTGATTTGATCGTACTGCTCTAATCACATACGCATCATGTACACTCAATGAGCACACTTTTCTTCCTGTGAATTCTAAATGTTGATCAGGGCCTCGCGCAATTCAACTTGGCGGAGGCGAGGAACGCATTTGCGTCATATCTTATACCAACCGGCGATTGCCGCGTGGGACACATTCCGAGCCTATCCTCTGTGCATTCAAGGTCAGGAAATAACACTGGACGGAGACGAGACGAGATCGCTGCTTAATGTCACAATAACGCGTTTCTTAGTATGCATACCGCGAAACTGCGGCGCCACTGAGAGGCAAGCTAGGGACATCCGAGTCAACAATGGTCAAGTTCAACGTACTTCACAATTTGTTGCCTGTGGACTGTCATATCCGTTCGCTTTCCTAAGTACGTCCCCGAGACCACGCCACTACGTTGGCTCGTTTGTGTGTTCCATGTCCACAGCTTCATCCAAAAACGAAATTCCTGAAGGCAACAGCACTCAACTAAGGAAAAAGATCGCACAGTCCTCGGGGCAACAGTACACAGACCGTACAATGGATCTACTCGTCCGAGGATTAATTTAAACTATGAACGAAGTACAATAGAGAAATACGTGATTTTTATGGTACAGGGGTATGTATGATAAAATAATACAAGCGTATCCAAGAGAAAAGAGAGGGATCCTGAGCCATACAGGTGTGTACCGAGACTGTCCAGAGATAAAACTGAGTCGAAAAAGTTAAGAACGGGTACCTTTCGTCACCCGGGACAATAGATGTTTCGCCGTGCGGTATTCCTCATCGTCGTCATCACTCGAGTCCACCCAGAGGTCTCCCGTTCCACGACGTTCATGCCGGCTGGTCCAGCCACCAGGTCCCACAGTAGGAGCCTTGGTCGACGGCGACCATGGGTGATGCCTACCCCGCGCATCCTCGTCGTCGTCAATCGCAGGTGGTGTGGCGGAGAAGGTCGGCGGAAGGGACATTCTGACGCTCTTTCTCCGGGCAGGTCCCGCGGTTGACGCAGTCGAGTTCGACATATCGCTTCCCGAGGTGGTGAGTGGTTTCTCGTCGTGCGGTGGAGGCGGTGGAGCAGCCATAGAATCAGATTCTTCTGCGAAATTTTCATGACCCGTCTCGTACGATGAGATGGACGCAGTGTCCGCAACGTCTCCTTTCATTGTTACATTAGCCAGCGAATGGAGGCCATGCCGACTCGGCCCCGCGCCAGCATCTACCACAGGGTCGATAGGTGGAGGACCAGAAGGCACAGGAGGGTTTGGCGACGGCGTGCGGCTATTCCTCAGTGCAGAGCGCAAGGGCGTTTTCGCAAAAGGTCTGCTTGTCGAGAGGGGCAATGTAGGGGCTGACGCCGACGCCGACATCTGTACATGGTTCCGTGAAGGCGATCTGCTTACACCTAGCATGCTCTGTGTGGACGGCCCTGCCCCCGCACTGGCTGGCAGCTTGTGTACATCCTCGGTATCCGCGCTGACGTTTACCGGCGGCGGGGCTTTTGGCAGCACTAGCAAGCGGTTGGGGTCCTGCTTTGCCCACGCCTGGCGGTTCTCTTTCGCAACGCCCTCCACGATGCTCATGAGACTCGGTACGTCGGTATCGCGCGTCAGGCCCGACCGGTGGGGTGACGACACAGAGTTTCCGCGCTTGTGCCCCTTCGCGGGAGGAGGCGGGCTGGGCTTGGACGCCGGATCGCTGATCTCGATCGACGCGGTTCGCCTGTGCGCGGGCGGTGTGGTCTGCTGCTGGCTTGAAGATGCAGACGCAGACGTTGGGGAACGCATCAGCGGCTGGGTAGGTGTGGAGGCGGCAGACTGTCTGGACAGAGAAGAATTGCGCGAGAGGGACGTATGGCCACTGAGGGAGCTAGGTAGTGTCATATTGGAGGATCTCGTGCTTGTCGATGCCGCCGACGAGTTCTTAGTTGCATTTGACACATCTGCATTCCTCGTCGCCGCCTTGATGGTTTCTACGGACTGATCGCTTCTCTGCCTCTCGGCTGCCTTCTTCTTTCCCTTGAGATCGCCGAAAGGCGTCATCGCGCTATCACTGACCCAACCTTTGTTCGCTTCCGTTTCTGTGCGAGTAACGGGGCGAGCCTGCGTCGAGTTCCGCTTCGTCCGCTTCTTCAGGCGTTGCGTCGCGCTTGCCGACGAAGCAGAAGCGGAAATCGACATCGATGGCACAAGGGAATTTGCACGTGAACTTTGAGTGTCCGTACTCCGCGTGAACGCCGGCGACCATGTAGAGATTTGCTGAGAATGCGCACCGCCCTCGTCGTCCGAGCTATCGCCTCCGCGCCGTGTACGAGCCAGATGCTTGTCCGTCCTCGTATGCCATCGAGACCCAGATCTGCTTGCCGTAGGCGATGTGCGCCCTTCTGTTGCAGCCTCGTGCTTGCCCTTGTCCTTGTGGAACAGTGCGGCAATACCCCTCTGGAAAAACGACCCCGACCCACTTCTGTGTCGCTCCTTCTTGCTGCTCTGCGAGGACGGTGGGTCTGCCAGCGAAGGCGCTGTGGGGAAACGCACATGGCGCGGCCCGCTATCGACCGATCCAGTTCGCGCGCGTATGGAGAATGTCTTCGGCGCCTCAGCCGCGCCGCTTGCGGGAGCCTTGCCACGCCACTTTCCCTTGGTTCCGAACCGCTCGTTTTCGTGCATTTCAACAGGCCTGGTCTCGTCCTCTTCCTCAGCACTGCTTCCGCCTCCCTCCTCATCAGGCTCTTCCACTTCAGAAATGCGCCAGTGCGCGCGTGGGCCACCGTTGAGAGCGATGTGCTCCGAGACTGCGTGTGCAGGCGGGATGTCCAGCGTGTAGTTGGGGAATTGCACTGGTGCCGAAGCAGTGTTCATCCTCCATGCTTCCGTGTTGTTGTGGTCCGTCCCATCTGAAGCAGACACCGGTAGGGTAATCTGCGACGCGGACTGCGAAGGCGCTATGGAAGACAGGTCAGAGTGTGCATGCCCAGAGTCGGAGTGGTTGCCGGAGCCGGGGAACGGTTTCAGCTGCGGCGACATTGTGTAGGGGTGCGTGCCTGAACGAGACGATCGCTCATGATCAGCATCCAAACAGCACGGAGTTCAAACGTCCGCCTCAAAGTCGCCAATGTACATGCTCCCGCATATGACGGACGTGCACAAACTGGACGCACGTACCATTTGAGTTCTGCGGCTCAGCCTCCGATCCAATGATCTCTAACACTCGCAATCCCTCCTTACCCATCTCGCCCCACGCCCAGCCGCACTCGACCATGGCCTTGCACCGCGCGTAGAGTCCACTTTGTATCGCGGTCGTCCGAAGACTCTCTAGCTGACGCTCCTTCATCGCAAGATGTGCTTCGCATGCTTGCAGCTCGGTTTGCGCGGCAGACAGCTTTGGCCCGATCGATATTTCAGGCTTGACAAAGCTGAGAGAGGAGGTCGACCCAGAGGACGCAATGAGGGAATCTCGGCTCGGCTTTTGTTGTTTGGACGCCTTAAGGAGACGCGTTACACTGCGAAGAAATGCTGAGGTGGTCAGACTTCGTAAGAAGGGTCACCAACGGGGGCTGCAGGGTGTGATATGCGTTGCCCATAAAGAGGCGGCAGCTTATCGGGAGTGCTGACATTTCAGCCAGACGACATGGGGTGGCAGGATATCTAGTCAATGCGGTGATACGCGGGCCTCAGACGAGGCAGTATTCGCTCTCGTCAGATATCATTAAGCTGCGATGGTGCTTTATGCAGAGCGGGCCCCCATAGACAGGGACTGCACTGCTGACGGTCTATCTAGCATTACGGAGCGCGAATACTTTGGGCACCCTGCTGGAGGGGTGGCGGGAAGGGTGAAGGTACCGAAACGTATTGCGCCATTTCGCTAGAAAACAATTCAAATATGAGAACCTGCCATCCCGTTACAGTACCTATTCTTCTGCCAACCAGTATCTGCCATATGTACAAGCAACAGTCTCTGGCATGACACTGTCTCGAATAAAGATTGCGCAGACACACCTGTATTATCTGCGCAGAACCACGGACCTCTTGTCGTACCCACCGACAATGTGCAATTCGAAGCATGCAGTCGTATGCCATCGGTAGAGGACATACGTCGGAATACTTTCGCACTAGATCAAGTCGGACATCCTTGACGGAGAGGCATGCTCTAGACAGATCTAGGCTTGTGAAACCAGTAATGTGGCGGTCCAACCCATAAACACGTTACAGGTCGAATCACAGGTCAACCAGGCGTTACTCCATAGCAGGGAAGCGCATCTTAAGTCATGATACGCAGGGAACGCGACAGCAGGGAATGCAGCCGTAGCAAAGCCATAATAAAAGGGCACTCACAGTATCTCGCGATCACGCACAATGTTCCCCACCTCGTCTTCCAAGTCCTTCAGCGCCTTGAGATGACTTTGCCACGCCTCCAACGACGCAGCATACTTGCGCAGCGCATCGTCAGCGCCCGCAAGTGAGCCTGCGACTGCTATGATAGCATGAGAGAGCTGAGGAGATGATGCCGCTGCATAGGCCGAGAACGAAGCTAGGGAGACCTGAGAGTGCTCGAGTAGATGGAAAAGGTGTTTCGAGTAGTCTCTCTCGTGGGACAAGAGGTTTGTGAGTAGCCTAGAGTCCGCCGGGCGATGAACCATGCGACAATTGACTGAACGGGATGGTAGATGTGTTCCGGGTACCAAGTCGAGAATAAGGTGTAAGTCGCTTAGCCGTGACCACCCGCGAGGTTCGATATTTGATTACGTAATAGGGCGGGACGCGCGCTTGAAGTTTCCATACTTGGAAAATCCCGACTTCGCAGAACGAGGTTCGTCCTCTATTGTCATTTTGCTGGGGTTCTCATTTAGTTCTAGATGCCTAATTTCATTTTTCGGAAGCTTATATGCTGAAGCCAAAGCTACCATAGCCGTACGAGGCTTGATCACGTTATATTTTGCTTGTCCAAGAGTATACACAACAAATACGCCGCCATCCAATTCGTTCGCGAAGCATAAGCCATACACCACCAGGTCCCGCCATTTGTCAGAGGTACTTCCTTTATTATTGTTGATTTTATTCACACCTAAAGCTGTCGAATCGAGAAGCATGACGTGCAATGAAGCAAGGCAACTTCCGAGCCCTAAACCCCGCAGCATATATAGGGGCATGGTGTTCAGGGCTGCAAGTACACTCAACACATGCGCTGCGTGACACCAGGTCAATAGCTTTCCAACCTTGATCCGTGATAGGTGAGAAAGCCTCATAATTACGGTGGGGAAGGTGAGTGTACAAGATCCTTACGTTATCTTTGAGTATTTACGAGGACTAGGCCACGAGGAAGTTTCAGAGCATTTCTGGAATCTACGGTAAGTCATGATACTCTGTAATTAATTGAGGGAGAGTGAGCGAGCGTTATTTCAGTCGACATTTCCTGCACGGATGTTTGTCCCTTCGACTATCTGGGTGGGCACTCTCACCTAGTGAACCGCCATTGATCCCAGCACATACAACACCACCGACCCAGGCCTGCCGCTCGGCAGAAGGGGGTATGCCATGCTCATGATGAAAAAGTAGGCAAGCGCATACAACGTTATACCCTGTATTGAAGATTAGTTTCAGGAGGCCGTCGGCATTATTTTAGTTACACCGTCTAGATGATGGTGCTTGAATACGGCTGTAAGGGCGCTCAGAAACTTTATCAGAACAGTCGGGAATAGGCAAGAGTACGTCCATTGGCTAGAGGTATCGCGATTTTCGCGAGTTCTCGTCCTTGAAATAACTCAGCGCATTCAGACGGCAACCGGAAGGCATCTTAGCAGACACGGCTGGCCTTCCCATGGTCTAGGTAAGGTAAAGGGGATTTTTCAAAAAATCAAATCATACGCACCTTGACGTAGGCGGATGCGACGCGAAAGATCGCAGGCTTCCCCGAAGGATTCCATATCTGTGGTAGGCAACGCATCTCGCGTGCAAGCTCACCGTATTCCTAGTGACCACGACTACGAGGGTCTTACAAACCTATCAACGGGGTATTAGAAATAGATCGAAGACTGAGTGGGACGAGGAGATGCGGCGTCGGCCTAGATACTGACCGGCATCCTCGTGGAACAGCTTCGACCATGTGGCAGATGCTTCCTGCATCGTAGCATCAATGATCGATGAAGGATGGACGTCGAACAACTAAACAAGGCAGAAATGGCCAGCGGGTTTGCTCAACCTTGTACATGCTTGGGAACGCCGACTGCGAGCGTTATTATTGACATAGCAACGCGGGGACACGGATTCGATTAGATTCCTCACCTTTGCTTGCAACCACCATCTTGAAGACTGTCTTTCACTGGTCTGACTCGAGCTCGGATAATTCGGCCACTAGATACCCACATTCATTACCGTCACCGCCGGCATTCTCTACTGGCCGCCCTCGTTCCTGCAACTTGACATTTGAACCAGAACTCGAAGTCTCACGGAAGCAATATTTAGGCGGGTGTTGCCGGAGATCAGCGGCTATTAGCACTTGTACTTTATTTGGTGAGTTGTTGATCCTGAGGCCGCCCGCGCGCGTTTTTCCTCCGCTCGCTCGCCCCCACGAGGCTGCTCATCGTCATTGTACACGAGGCTCTCGCGTTCAAGGCCTCTGCAGCGACAGTGCCTCAGAGCTTGCGCCCAGTACGCCGCGCCGCGCCCGCGTTGTCATCTGGGAGACCTCATCTAGTCGCCTCGCGTACGGATATTCTCAAGTCTTGGATACTCTACTCAACTTGCATGAATTTTCTGCCTAATACACGAACATGTCACGACAGTACGATTCGGCTACTCCGTCGTCGGCAGATCCGTCGCCAAAATCCAGCACTACTCGAACCAGCTCTCGAGAGCCCTCCGATCAGGACAGCGCGGGCGACCAACACGAGGGGCCCACCCTAGGTTCAGCGCGTCCATCACCACCACAATCTCCACAGGGGGTGTCCTCAAGCTCTGAGGGGTACCCGTCTTGGCTGCCGAAGCGTCCGCCACCCCCAGCCCCGCGGTCGACGCTGCAGTCGTCGGTCGTGGGCATGTACAGCGAGCCGGGCCCTAGCAGTGAGCCGTTCGTGGGCGGACGGAAGGCGACTCCACGATCGGTGCGTATCGTCAGCCTTCAGGGCTCCTCTCAGGGGGAGAAAGATCCGCGTGCACGGCGCGAACCTACAGAGCAGTCGCGTGTGTTCTCTGCGCCGTCGCATGCGCGCGTATGGTCCCGCGCAACGAGTGCTGGCATGACGCCTACGCTCCTCGGATCCGCATTTGCTTCCCAGCTCCCACGGCCTAAATTTCGCGATTCCGGTCTGCATCTGGAGATGCTGCGAAACCCGACCTGGAAAGCGCGGCTCCTCTTCTACCTGTTCCCTCTGTTCGTTTTCGCGCATATTCCGCTACAGACGTTTTTCGACTTCAACGCTGTATTTATATTGATCCTGTGAGTATGTCGATGGACAGTCCTGTACGTTTGCTGATATTACCATAGGTTGGCTAAGTACCCGAATCCCGAAGCGCCTGGCGTGCCTGGCTCCGGGAAGAATTGGGCTCTGGGCGCTGCTGCTTATATTGCTTGTTGGGCTGTCTGGATCTTTGTAGTCTTTATTGTATATGAGCTGGTATATTCCTTCTGGCGCCGTTGGAGAGTCAGTAAGTGCAGCATCGTTCCTGCTGTCCAGGTCTTGCCCGTTGACAAGTATCACGTTCCAGAACGACCATTAATGTTCCCCCTGTACCTGTCCTCACCTGGCTTCAATCTCGTCTCCATGACCTCCTACACTAACTTCTGCTTCATGTATCATATTCGCACCTCTGCTTTCTCCGGCGAACATGGCGCCCTCCGCGATGGTCTTGCCGAAACCGCATATTTCTACTCGCAAAACTGGCCTACAGTGGCTCTCCTTCTGCCGCGTGCGGCGCTTTCTCTGGCACTTCTCCTGGCGTTTTGGATACCGCAGCCAGGCGAGATCGCTCTTATCGATGCAGGCATCAGCCAACGAAGTGGGACGTTCTTCCGCGCATCGGACGGGACACTGACGAACTACGCCCGCGGTGTGCTCGTTGCCAATGCTGCATGGACGGCATGGCGTGTTCTCGTTCTCTTGTTGAGTCTGTGCGTATCGGTGTTATTGGAAGACACCTGTGTTGCATTTTGTGTTATTTCCAATTGCTGACCCGTCTGCTCTTCAGGGTCGGCCTCTGGATTCTCAGCGGGCACGGCTGCGCGGGTATCTGTGGACCACGATTCCGCTGGGAGGAAGAGGACGCAGAGAAGGCTATCTCGGTTGTCAGCGATAACTTGTCGACCACAGATGCTCTGCCTTGGTCCTGGAGAGAGTGCACGCTCCTGCGTGTCAAAGACGCTCATGACTTTTGCTTAATCGCGAAACCTCCTCGTCCTGTTCCTGGTGCTACGAAAGGAGACGATCGTGAAGCCTCGGTGCCATTTGAGGGTATTGAGCGAGTGTTCGCCGCTGTGGGTCTGCCATCTGGGAACCAGCCAGCAAGACGGGGCGTCTTGTCAGGAGAGCTGTTTGAGAGCCCTGTACCACCTGAGGAAGGAGAAATGGAGGGAGAGAAGGATGTAGCTAGCACGTCGGCACCGGAGCTTTCAACGATCTTGCCACCCCCCGTCGCTGTTCGTGCCAAGGAGAAGCAGTCAGTTGCCCCGACTGGTCCATTGCTCTCCTATCCGTTTGCAGGGTATCCAGCACAGGTCTCTTCTGAGGAGAGCGTACCGTTCCCGCCGTCACCACACACGGAAGAGGAGAGGGAAGTGCCCATCCACAGCGCTGGAGAAGAGGCAGAAGGTGGCGATGAGGAAGATGAGGAGGAGGAGGAGGAGGAGGAAGGAGAGGAGGAAGAGGTTGAAGAGAGCGAAGGACCATCAGATAGACGGACTTCAGGCTCTATGTCCAGTCTAGGGAGACCTGTCGTCTCTCGATATCCCTTCCAGTTCCGACGGCCGACACGCGGCAGTGCATCATCTGCATCGCATATGACACCACAGACACAGTCAACACCATACTCGAGGCAGTCACATTCGACGCAGTCGCAGTCCACCCAGTCGCGTTCCACCCGGATATCCAGGTCCACGCAGTCCACTGGCAACAGAGAGTCTTCGGACTCACCTTTATCAAATGGCGCCTCGAACACATCAAGCCCGTTGGGTTCCAGCTTCAGCGGCAGTGTGATCCCAATGCCCCCACGGCACCCTCAAGTGCAACGGAGAGCGAGGGCAGGAACTGTGCCCGTCATGCCATCCTCTCCAGGTTCGCCCACTCCTGCAGCCACTGCTAGTGGCCGGCCTCGTGCACGCACACGCACAGAAAGCGTGTTGGCGGATACATCGATGACGTTCGGACAAATTCCGCGATCGCAATTCGATTCGGATAGCGAGATGATGCACGATGAGTCGCTAATGGACGTGCCTGAGGCAGAGGGCTCAATTGAGGAGGCGGAGCAGCACGATAGTGTCGGCCTGCTGTCTGCAGGGCCGAGTCCTCGAGCATCGCGAGCCAACCTGCGGCGAAGAGGAAGCGGGATCTCGCACCATCGTTCAACTGGCTCGCGCTCCCGTTCGGGTACAGGTTCACGCTCGCATTCGAGATCGCGCACCAACTCTGGCACATCGCGCTCAGATTCGGCACGTTCACGCGCACAATCGCTCATTGAGGCCATCGGAGCCGCATCACGGTCTTCCATCGACTTGGTGCGATCTCGTGCGAACTCTATGGTGCGATTATCCGACTCGCCCTTTGAGTCTTCCGCGTCGGACGCTGTGCTCAGCAGTCCGGAGAATCACACATTCGGCCACCCTCTTAGGGAGCAGTGGCGAGGAGACGAAGCTCCGGCGCGTGACGTACCACAGGGTGCAGACGTGCCGCTCCCGCCATCCGATCCTAGTTCAGGCTCGGGGTCCGAGTCTCAGCAAGGTGACAGCCCTCAGCAGCTACGGACAGCGCCGTCTACGCTGTCGACCAGTGCGCCATCCGAGCAAACATTGGAACTGAGTGCTCACACTGAGCGGTTGGGTGTACCTATCGTCAGGCGCCTAACTACGGCCGAGGGCGAGAGTCGCCCTGACATATCCACGGCGAATCAATCATATGTTACGTCGCCAACGACGATTCAGGATACGACTGACAGCTCTGGACGGACACCTTCCAGCTGGGGTGGCATGGAACAGTACCCGGGCGGTACATGGCGTCCTGCATGATTCGGTCATTGATCTGGTAAAGCCAGTCTTCCTCGGACGTTTTTTCTCTATCTCAGGACGGATTGCTTTGAGTTATTCACCTGTGTTTATACCTACTATTGACCTGCGCTATCCTGCTCCTCGTAGACCATCCGATCACCCTCATCCATCACCAACGACCCGTACTAGTGCGACACCTTAATGCCTTACGCCAGTCCTGTTTTTGGCTGTACCATACAAGTATTATACTTGTACGATACAGCCGTCATAAGAATTTTCATCGCCCATTTACTGCTCTCTATGCTAGATGTGACTATCGGAGCACGTCTAAGGTGCGCTATCGGGATACTGAACTTGTTACCCCCCAGGCCATGTCGCTACGGTCGACACGCGCTCGTCACAGATCATGTGGACGTGACAAGTCGCGCCTCGATTTAAGCCGCCGCGATCGGTTGACTACGCGGGAACCCCGTACCGCATCTGCAACGGTTATCAGCATCGTACAATTTCGGATAGTGCGAAACGGGTTAGAGAAGTCTTAGACTCAAGTATTCGCGTTGTAAGGCTATTGTTGTAACATTCTGTCTCATCCGTTGTGATTGCAAGAATCCTCAAGCAACTTGAAATGCAGCACATCAGAGCCTTCGCTATACGTAGTTCCCCAATCGAAGTCACTTGAATGATTTTCCAGCCCAAACGCCTCGAGAAGCTTCTGTGCCTCAACGCCACCAAGAACGACGGGGTGCGCCTCGCTCCGAGTCTTTCCCCTTGCACCCTGCCCATAGATCAGCTTTTCCCCAGGTGTCAGAAACGTGCCGATGTGGCGGAACGTCAGGCTGATGCGTTCTCCATTTGCGAAACGCTCTGCTTCCGTCTTCTCTTGCTGAGGTCGTTTATCGTGACGAATCGCGTGTAACCAGCACATGTTTGTGTTGAGTCCCATCACGAACATCGAGTTGTGGGGTAGTGGGATGCGCTGCACAGCACGACTCTTATTATCCGAGTACAGATTGTCCTTCTTTGTTCGCAGGGTCATCGTGCGCTGCGCACCGAGGCTTACGTTGACGATACGCGAGCCACGCACCACGTCGATCGTCTTGTCAGAATGCTCCGAAATGAAGTCGGCGCCGCTCCGGTAGTGCTGGATGAGGACATGATTGACGGGCTGTTGCAGCACATCCTGTACGTGCTGCCGGATACGCTCAACTACGGGAGAGAACGATAGAAGAGGGGGTGACTCGTCTGCAGGATGGCGATAGATGGGATAGCTATGAACTGAGCTTTATTCATGAACTGACGGACACGCGTCAACTGCAACTGACCTGCCATCGTCATCGACCTGACCTTGGACGGCGACAAGTCGTGGAACCTCACCACCTAATGTACTGGATTCGGACCACGTTCTGCAAAGTATCTCGCGATTGCTTACCTCTGTGCGACATCGTGTGCCATCGGACTTCCTGACGCACTTGTTCGAATGCCAAGGTAGCAAGATTCGGTGGCAGGAAGTCCAGAACAAGGTCGCACTCGCCTTCGCCTATCCTATCGCCCGAATGCAGCAAAGAGATTGCTCTTCCTGACATGGTCTATCACGATATTAGAAGACGGACAATATTTGGAATTGTCGCTTTACAAGCTAATACGAGTCAACAAGATAATAATACCGAATTAGAATGCAGATAAGTACTGATTTGGACAAAGACCGAGAAGTTAGCGCGTGGCGCCTTCCGCCACACCTAAACGTTTAAACCCTCGAGCTCGGACCCGCTTCGTTTTTGTTCCCCCCACCAGAAATAATTGTAGGGGCGGAACAGAAATTTATCCGGTCACTCCGAACACGTTTATGCGCCGTTGTATGGCTGCCTGATCTCGGCACCGGCGATGTCGCAGTCGCGTCCCCTTGCTGCCCTTCCGGCCCTTAATCAAAATCACTTCCCGCCACCTACGGATATCAATGCTGACAGATCGGAAGAAATCTGTGCCACGCGAGTTGCTGCGCCTCAAAGAGCCACTTCATCGAGCCCTTTTAAGCGTCAACGCAGCGACACCTCCATCCACATCCATCTCAGTGCACCCATATTGCCAATGATGCAATCCCCCGATTCTCAGCCTATCCCCCTGCTATCCCCCATCATTTGCGCCACTGCAGAGGAAGTTTATATGCTCGATCCTTCGCCTTCCGATTTAGCGCCCCCATCACCCACCGGCACAGAAATCGTCATCGAGGGAGTTAAGAAGGAGTTCGACCAGGCCTTGCTGCCCCTGATACTTGAGGCAGAAGGAATTAAGGTGCGCGACTATGGCGCTGAGGTGATTCCCTCAGATCCTCGTGATCCGGAAATGTGGGACTACCCCATACAAGCGCTTGTGCGACATGACGTCCACATCCGAAGGAACCCAAGCAACAAAAACCCCATGAACCTCTCGGGGAAGACTTTATGGCGATTGTTGGACAGTGGCCTGGTTACCCAAGAAGAAGCTGTGCACAACTGGACCGCGGAGGATTGGCAGGCAATGAATGCCTACAAGACACGCCCCAGTGGCCCGTCTCCGTACCAAGTCTGTAATCTGGTTAGACCGACTGCGTCTTACCGGGAGCATATGCGTCTAGACTTTGTCCCGCCTTTGAAGGACGACAAGCAAGAGCACGAAATTTTCGTACCTCCCGACGTGCCTGGCATGGACGAGGGCGACGCTGTTGGTCGCCCACACTACGCGCCCAAAGACTGGGAGGAGAAGTACGATTCTAAAAAGCGAAAGGTCGGTGAGGCAGGTGTAGCTTCGCCAGTCCCTTCACCTCATCGTCGGGTGGTTTTACCTTATGGCGCGACGCCGGTATCTGTGCCACGGAGCACCACTCCAACAGGCTCGCAAGTACGCTCTCCGTCGAATTCCCCCACGCCACGCAGACGGACCACACGACCCATCGAGCGGATGGGCACGTTTAGGCGGTAGAAAGGTATCGAAGGATGAAGGAGCTGGAGGCGCATTGTAGACATACTCGAGGTTTGTACATTATAATCAGCAGCGTGTAGCCGTATACCCGCACACCCGCACAAGCCATTGACCACATCGACGTTCTGTTTCCATAGACGCATATACTTATATTATACTGAATACACGTGCTGTTCATAATGCGTTGTATCTGTTGATCAAGAGAAAGAGGGCCGGAAACGGCGCCTGCAATCGATAGCTGGAATACCGCAGGAGATCTCCAAACAGGACATAGTGTTTCCCTTGTATCACTCTGACTCTGCTCACGGTATCCTTTGTGCATCGTACCTAGCCAGGCGCATCACAGCTGATCAAAACGGACATGAGCTATGCTGCAGCTCTCGTTAAGGAGAGATATCAGTAAGCACGCGATTTTGAGAGCTTTCATCCTCATTCGCCTGAAACCGTACAATGGCAGGGGGTTATCACATTGTCACACTCTGGGAGGTAGAGGCCTATGGGTATGAATTCCGCCGGCGTAAGTCTGACAGGATGGCCAAGACGGACCTGCCCCGCGGTGTTCGGTTAGGACGACATGTCATGTGGACGGACCCCTGACAAAATCATGGCTGTAAAGAGCGCTGTTGTCAAGCCATTCAAGTTGGGTGTCTTGTCCGGAGGCACACCTAGCTGAAGACGCGAAGCCCCACGTAGTAACAGTATGGTATGAACCACTTGATGCAGCGGAATTGTATTCGGCGGAGAGCTGTTGGTACACTAAAACAAAAAAAAACTCGCCCGCCGCCGCCGACTGTTGCATCTTAGCGTTGTTTCGAGGAATGAGACTTAAGTGCGAAGTGGGCATGGCTCGGGCCACAGATAATAAATTAGTGGCAGGGTCCGTAGAAGCTGGTGATATATTTATGAAGCTCGCACCTCTATGATCCAATGGTTCAAACGTTCAAGGTCCAGCGGCTCAGGCTGGATGATGGATCTGGTTGGATCGAGAAGGAATCGAGGATTGGGAGAATTTGATGCGATCAATGATTTACTAGATCCATATTTGGGGTTATCGGCTATTCCCTGACTTACCCGTCAATTTGACCGATCATTCCAACTTCACTTCCAACACAGGCCGCTCAGGCAGTCCATCCTAGTTTCTTCGTCGGTGACCCCGCTGGGGTTGGTATTGTCCGTCTATTGGTCAAGTACTCGATGGGTCTCTCTGGCAGAAAGATCAAACAACGCATCCCAAACGACCCTAGGAACTTGTCTTGGGCAAATGGTGCGTATATCAAGACCAAGGTTGCAGAGTGGCATGTGAAAGCTGATCGCGTCCCGCTGAAGATGCCAGTAAATTCGGCACCTCCTACCTGCAGAAGTTCGGATGGGACTCGTCCGTTGGCCTAGGTCCCTCAGGTGAGGGTCGCACGACACACATATCCGTCCACCAGAAGCTAGACATGCTTGGCATTGGGGCCGACCATAGAAATAGCGAGGACGGGACCGCCTGGAAGCAGGGCCGCGACTTCGAAAACTTGCTGCGCAGGCTGAACGATAGTATGGGAAACGAGGATAGCTCGGAGGCCATAAAGGTGGACGGGTTTATTCGACCAAGCTCGACTACGGAACCCGCGGAAGACGACGCGGTTCCGCCGTCCAAGGCCTCTGACGAAGATGATGGCGACAAGCTTAAGAGAAGGAAGAGGAAACATGGTAAGGACAGGGACGCTGTAGACGAGGAAGAGACTGAGAAGGGGAAGAAAAAGCGGAAGAAGTCGAAGACGACTGATGATGGTGAGCCAAATGGGGAGGAGAGGAGGAAGGAAAAGAAGAAGACCAAAGCTATGTCCTCCGGTCAAGGCGAAGAGTTGCCTGCCCGAAGCAAAAGACCCTCTCAGGATGGTCTCCATGATGTCGTCGCGACACCTGCAGTGGCACCACTTGTAGTGCCCCGTCCGTAAGTACATCTTTCAATTGTTCCTGGCCTCAATGTTCTTCAGGAGATGCGTGCATAGTCTTGCACGTCCTATTCGTGACAGATAAATGTCGTGGCACTTCCCGTTCGTGAATGATAGTACATGCTAACACATAGTTCCTTAGACACCGCGCACACCGTGCACGACATATTGCATCGAAGGGCCTCGCGTCGAAATCAGCTACCGCTATCTCCGAAATCCTTGGGGTTGCCTCATCTACTACGACACCCCCGTCTACCTCGACCCCCATACTGTCAGCTGTCGATACACCCGTTGCAGACGCGTCGTCGTCCTCGGATCTCAAGCTGCAGGACTTGACTACCTCGACCAAGAGCGTCATGGATTACTTCCGCGAGAAGCTTGCTGCCAAGAGCAGCGGTGCTTCATCTTCGACTGCTGCCCCCTCACCTTCTTCGCCTGAAATCAACGACTATGATGACCGCCCCAAAGTAGGTCTGGGCGCGTCAAAGCTCCACCAGACGACCACTGATGCGGATGATGATGGTGATCGACCAAGAGGTGGTCTAGGGTCATCGAAGGCAAATACCATGATGGGCCTGCCGATATTTGCGGCTGCAGGTACGAACCCCTCTGCTGCGGCCGATGAAGCGGACAACCAGGACATAGATGAGGGATCAAAAGAAAGGCGCTTGAAGGAGAAGCGCAAGAAGAAAACGCAGGAGAGGAGCGATGAGACACTCCGTCCAGCAAGTGAGACTGCGGCCGACATGGACGCCGATCCTGGGACGTCGAAGAAAGAGAAGTCGAAGAAAAAGCACAGGAAAAAGGCCCTGGAGCAACCGGATGACAACCAGGAGGTCGTTTCGGCTGCTGATGGGACTGATGTGTTGCAGGGCCAAAGTGGAAGGAAGCGTGAGAAGTCGAAGAAGCGAGAACGAGGCGACAAGAAGGCTTCGGCATGACCTGCGCATATACATTTTCCACAGCGGCTTCAGCGTATGTACCTCAATTTGCGGATATGAATAAGGATCTATGACACAGGCTGTGTTTTCTAAGTGGGCGGTGAACGCTCAGTTGGATGGTTGGTACACAATTGGAATGTTCGCAATTCTGGCGCTGCCGTTGGTTGTTCCTGCATCACAGCCACGACGAATGTCGGCGCTCTCAATATTACGCGAGGGCATGCTCTCAAATCCCAACTGGTGTCAAATTGGCACTTCGCGCGCTGCATAAGCTTATGCTACGTCCAATTTGACATGCCATCTGTCTGGACCCGAGGCCCCGAAGGGTGGATGCTTGTAAATGTGTTCTCTCCACGATCTGACGGAAGGGCGGCGCAATAAAGCTCCGGGAAGGACAGCTATTTGATTTCTATTCCGTAAGGCCAGGCCTCTGCAGGGATGTATACGCCGAGAACATGTCTCATCATCGGCCGCCAGATGCGAAGAGTGCAACAAGTGTTCAATAGTCGATATGAACCAAATTCTCAAGTAGAAGTGCTATTTCACGAAGACGATGTGCGTAAAAATACATTAAGTTTAGTATGTGTCTCAGGTTCTCGCGCAATGTGGGATAATTGACCGCTGAAAGGATATACAAGCAATTGAAGGGGTATCGCACCGTGAATCGCCTAGAATAGTCCCCGTACATCCCTTCATAAAACAATAATATACACACACTGGTAATGGGGAGCCAGACACGGCAATAAATAAGACGAGGGGATGAGGAGAGGGCGTTATTATGACGGATACCATTGGCCAGCATGGAGAGCTCCGTACTCGGGGACCTGCTGTACGTAACTTTGACCGCCGTCCCAATGCGGTCCAGAGTTCTGAAAACCTAACGTCAATTCGTCATGCTGGTGGGAGACATAGCCTGCCTCCGGGTAGTTAAGACCCGAATGCATCGGCTGTTGGAGTGAATAGGAAAACCCATGCTCCTGCGCGGTCGGAGAAGCAGCCTCATATGATGGCTGGCCAGGAACGGCTGCAGACATTTCAGGGGTCATGGACGCCTGGATCGCGCCCGAGCGCAGCACTTCCTCGAATCTTGCAGCGACGAACGCCTCGTACTCCGGCGTCACAATGAACGGCTGGTCTTCGAAACTATTAGTAGGGCTCCCCGGTGCCGTCAGGCTAGGTGAAGGAAGAGGAGTCGAGGTCTGACTGCCCAGGGGCGTGTTGTCATATGAGACGCTGCCGCGTGGCAGGGATGACATCCCCGACGGCGGAGACATGCCCTCGAGGTTGTAATTGGCATCCGGGACTGAGGGCAGGTGAGTAGCACCTCTTAGCATCGCCGAAGATTGGTCATAAAATTGCTGTCCATGGGATAGAGCAGGCGTCCTTGCGGTTGCATGGTGGTATGCTAGAGCCTGCATGAGCTCTGCGCCTCGAGCAGCTGCGCGAGTGCCATGCTTGCGGTCTGCCGTCGAGCCTCTCGCCGACCATTCCATGGTGTGAAACTCCGTCAGTCTTGGTGTCATTGCTTGCAAGCTGAGCAGAGCGGCTGTGGTAGAATCTGGGGGCGAGCTCGCAGAGCCATTTGCGTGTCCTGGTGTAGTTGGGAGCCAGGGACCTCGGCTTCGGGCCCGACGGTCTGTTGGTGACATACTAGAGCGGGAAGATGAAACATCATGCATAGAGTCCGAGGCGATGGTGCTCGAGCCGTCATACGTCGGCGATGTCTCTGAAGCGTATGGCGAGGCAGGAAGGTCTAGACGAGGCAGTATAGGGCGTGCCGACGATAGTCGTAGGTCTGCTGGCGGTTGGCGCTTAGCCGCCTTGACGCCGTAGCTACGTTTCTTTGTCAAGCCATGCATGCGCTGTAGATAGCTCACTAGGCCGAGGGTGTCATTACTGGACCTGAGAGCTGCGCTGTCGTGGGCATCGATGCGTGGCGCGATTGTTGACGATAAAGATGAGCGCCGGCTGGATGTAGGTCTGCTCTGATGCGTCGGTGAAGGTGGCAGAGACATGGAATTCGGAGTGGTGGGCGTGCTGGGACACAGAGGGTTGCCCAATATTTCCGGGCTTGAGGCTATGGGCGAACAGTGAGAATATGGCTAAAGTGTCATTGTGGCTAACCGACCTTGACTCCCGTCACACAATGTGCCCGATAGCAGGACAGTAAAGCGAGACGTGTCGACGTGGAACCAGGGTGGGACTTCCGCAAGGCTCTGACAATAGCGCTGGCAGGTGGATGTGATCAGCATGGTGCTGACCGCAGTTCGGCGAGGACAACTCACAGCGCGATGAAATAATTCATGGAAGGCCTTCGCTTCGTGTGCTGGTCCCAAAATGAGGTGAAGACGCAGCTTCTCCTGCGTGGGCCAAATATTCCGCCGTCGTTAGAGCGGTCACAGAGCTCGACGCCGGCGCGCACCTGACATAATGCCAAGGAGATCCCGATCCACGGATCGATGCCACTCTGCATTGGGCTGGGACCGTCGCCGCCTCCCAGGAGAGGTAACGCAGCGACTACTATCAAGTGCTGGTGTCCGCTCTTCTGTCTGCTGGAGCTTGAGAAAATCTGTGCGAGTGCGAAGTCAGCAAAGACGTAGAGACTGTTTGATTGTGTCTCTCACATTCGTGGCACGGCGAATAGTAGATGTGGATATTGCTATGTCAGACTGCTGCCCGAGGTTAAGGTCGGGTATGCTGGCACATTGGCTGACGTCGTGGACGGTAGTGCTCAACGCCGAGAACGCTGGAGAGCTCGTGAGCCACCAGACACGCATCTATACAAATAGCAGAGATATTAGGGAAAAAATAGATCCGACGAGCGACACAAACCGGGACGGTCAAGTCGGCCTCTCTCAGGCTCTCCAGCAGCGCAAGTAGGTAGTGGTTACGGATATCCTCCCATTTACTGGCCATGAGTCGCGAGTCCTCGACGATTACAATCACGAAGACAGGATCATTCGAGTTGGTTGGAGCTGCGAATCGGGAGAAAGCAGTAGTCGCCATCGCAAGCATGTCCAGCACGAGGAAGGCTTCAGTCCGTGGCTGGAGGTTGGAGGCTATGAAGTCCTCAGTAGCTAGGAATGGTGGTCGAGGACGCTAAGAGTCGCATGCAGCGGCGAGAAAGGTGATAAGGTGAAGGGTATACCGATATGGGTCCCTGACCGAGTCGGACTTTCTATTATATATCTACGGTTGCTGCGCCAATGCGGCGCGGAGACAGACCAATGTTCGCCGCTCCCGAGAACAGAGAGCCGTACCAACGAAACGGTTAAAGCTTGATGGAAGCTGCCGGAGGATATCGACACCCAATGGAGCGGAGCTACACGAGTGTATTCTTCCGTCGCTAGTTGGCGGTATCACTCCAAGTTGTCTAAACCTGTTGTCTCGATTGCTATCAGACCGATCTTCTTTTGCCTCGTTCATAAGATGCTGCCGGGCCGTAACTTTCAGCGATGACCTGCACTGCCCCTGCAACGACGGTCTGAGAAAAAACCCTACAGTAAGCCAAACCTACGGTATCTCATGACCACGCTCATCTAATGCAAGTCTACTGATAATCCGTGACATAGACTTTCCCCAGGGGGCAGGTCCTCCACATGCCCATTCTTGGACGCGGGAAGCCGGCAGATCGGAGACCAGTCTATTGACTTATGCGCCTCAGCGAGCTGTGGGATCTCTCCCGTCAAAGATCGTAAAACCAACGAGGACTTCGAGGCTAATGTTCGAGACTTACAAGGCTTAAAACCTGCGGATGGTTAAGGCGGCAGCAGTACTCGGCGTGGCCGGAGCGGGCGGCGAGGGCGCGGAGCTAAATGCTGAAATCAAATTCGTGACCGTTGTCATTATTTGCGCATATTTGTACACACCGACTTGTGCCCACTTACCGCGAAGTTGAGCTGCTCACCGCGTCTACCATTCTCTCCGCTGTCCTCGTTCTCCCCGCCGTTCAGCTGACCAGTTCCTCCCACAACATGGCGGCGGTATCACTGTCAAACTCACCGATTACTCAGGTCTCGCAAACACCCGTGCAGACCAACCTGCAGCCCCACCTCTTGACGAGATTGCTCCTCGATTTACGCGGAAAGCGGTTTTCCGTGGACCGAGAGACTATTATGAACCTTCCCGAATCGGTTCTCCTCTGTCTGTTTCCGAACGGCCTCGTACTAAGTCGTCAAAGCGCGGCCTTATCAGATGGGGGCGATAATGACGACTATGAGGAGATGTACGCTGTAGACGTGCGTGTTGGTCATTTGGCCGCATCGGTGTGAATGCCTGCTGAACACGCCGTCAGTTTGATCCGGATTGCTTCTCATATGTCCTCACGTTCTTTCGCAATGCGTCAGACACGTTCTACGGGACACCCAGTTCACCTGGCCTATTCACGGCACAGCAACAGTTGGTCGAGGGTGGTTCTCCGACATCGGACTTTGGACCTGCACAGTCGCAGAACCCGCTTCTTGCCAAGCAACCCATCATTGTCCTTCGTGAGGAGCTTGAGTATTTCTCCATTCCACCGAAGGACAGCGGCGCGGTGACAAATAGCAGTGGCATTGCGAACGACGCGCTCCTGGATCTGAAGAAGAAATGCGGCGATTTTCTTCTGCACAAGCGAAACATCTTCACCGCTTTGCAGCGAAATGTTAATAAGGAGAACAACATTGCGGAGCAACATCTCATCGACATGCTGTGTATGAGGTCCGTGTTGTGATGTGGTTCCGTGACCACATGACCGTCATGCTAATTCCTGCTACAGTGGATTTGATCGAGACGACGAGTGGGGCTATCGTGCTATGGAACCTTCACGGTGTTGTATATCCTCGATAGCTCTTGTTCTATTGAAGACTGGAATTGTTCATCACCCTCCAAATGCCAGCGGTGAGAGACAAGTGACCATAGACTATAATCAGATGGCGACGGCGCAGAAGCTCCTGTTGTTCTGGCGTAAACCGGCGGTGAGTGTTCCACTTCTGTTCCGGCCCTTTGCGTTCATATCCTGATAAGCTTCCGTCATCTTAGCGGAAGTGCTGGTGGGATGGCATCGAGGTGAACATGGCACAACCTGGAGAACCAGAGAAGCCGGTGAAGCTATGGGCGCGGAGAGTTTGGACGCTCGAATTGAGTCTGGTCCGTGATGCTTCGTGTCTCGCTATGTCTTCGGTACTAACATGTGCTCTAGGTCTAACGCTGCCAGGTCATTGGCGTATCTGCTATTCCTCTTACTTACTCCTGTTACTCTCATGTCGGACTATCTGGATACCCCCATTTTGTGGCGCGCTTGTGGTCACCACAGGCATAATATGTTCCTTCCGCTCCGCGTGGATTTACGTGAACTGGTTTCGATTGCAATCATGTACGCTGATGAGCATGCGCGTGTATCCGCAGCTAGTGAATGTCATTCATGTCAACGAGCCAGTAAATAGCGGAACTTCGATTGCTCGGATGTCTGGTGACATACGCACGGATGATTGCCCCGACCGCTTCATGCTGAACCAAGCCCGAACAGAATGAACTAAAGCTTTGAGATTCACAGTGTCTCTAGCCAATCATAGAAGGTATGTTAGTATATTCTTATTTCTATTGGTTACATAATTCTATGATAGTTGTGATGAGCTCCGCCCAAACTCCGCTTGATGGTCTGCTTTCCCTTATTTGTCCATGGTAGTTCATTGTCCATAGTAGTTCAGAGCTGAAACAAGGAGGACGCCATTGTCTCTTGCTTGGTTCTTGCCGTCGCTTCTCAGCCGCGTTTTGCAGGTAGGTCTTTCTAAAATGAATCGCTTATTCTCATGTTGATAATTTTACTACAATCTAGAAGATTTATTGTCTCGTAGAAGCCTGTCATGGATTTTGATTTAGAGTCTCTTGTAGATGTTGAGCAGAGGTTTGTCAGTTCCCCTAGCCCTGTTTAGCTCTGAAATGTATTTTGAGTGTAGATTCTACGATGACGGATACCACGACGGATTCGCCCATGGCAAAATTCACGGTTCCATAGAAGGCAGAGCCCTCGGCAGGGAGAAAGGGTTTGAGATGTGGGAGGAGCTGGGCTTTTACGAAGGTTTTGCCCTCATGTGGCAGGCGATCCATGCTCAACAAAGTAGAAACGAAGAGTAAGTAGGCCAAGTCGACCTGTTGGGGATACCTGTTGTTCATCGATATCACCTAGCCGCACAGCCCACCACATCCGCCAACTCTTGGACTTGATCGGGCAGTTTCCTCGCGTGAATCCGTCCGCGACTGAACCTTCCGACCTCGATATTCCGAGGCTATTCCGGCAGATCCGCTCGCGTTACAAAGCTTTATGCGCGACATTGGGCGTGCGGCCGACTCTTCGGGCTGCGGACTCCATCGCCCCCAACTCTTCGGAGGACGCTGAAAATGGGAACAGTCAAAGTAGCACCCGGCCGAGTGGATCCAAGAGCGTATGGCCCGTGCAAAGTATCGATAATCAGCGGTCAGGAGAACAGTTCAGCTTCTAAAGACAATCACGCGGGTTGCGTGCCCAGCGCAAGGGAGAAGTCGTCGGAGGCAAGTCGACACCTCCTGTTCCTGATCGGTCTCCGTGCGTCCGCCCGGTCAACCTCATGAAATCATGCAACTGATCTGTTAGATTGCTCCGTCCTCTATCGGTTGCGCTACCAGGACACGACTTGCTCCATAATTGCCGTTGGCCCCAACATCTTCGTACAACACTCGCGCTCCGCATGAGATCGCCATTTAACACCAATCCAGTTCTGTGGATCACGTGTCCGGAAGTGGGAAAACGCTCCCACTTCTATGAGAACGTGCGGAACACATGTGGTGTATAAGCTTCATTCTTCTCCGTGAAGGTGGGCTTTCGTAGGAGATATCGGACGTCAGACTTTTGGTTCATAGAACATCGCTATGAATAGTGTCTGTAAATGAAAATTCCCACAGCGGGTATGTCATCGGTTTCGTAGCGGTCGCTCTGTCCGTTTCTCCGGCGATCAAAGTCCTCAGTCTTATTCCCTCGTTCTCAGCTGCGTTCGCTGTGAATGTCTTTCATCGGGGCTGTTACACTGTAGCTGCCTTCTTGTGTCCCATGCAAGTCATTTGCGCAGCTCGTGGCCTCCTCATGTTCATCTCCTCAGACAGTGTGATCTTCGTATAACCCATCGTGGTATCGTCGTGGAAAGATTTTGTTCCGTCTTCATCGCACGTTTCTGGTATCGTGTTGCATGTGCTTCTAATCATAACGTGAATACAGGGACAGGCAGCCCCTTGAGTTCCCCGATGTATTGCGTATGTGCAAGGCGAACCACGACACATCGTTTATCCTTGTACCATGACGCGTTGTGATATCATAATTCTGTGAGTGAATGAGGAATCCCTGGCTACTCCGTTACCCATGGCTTTATCTGATCCTATCCAGGGTCCAGGATCTCCGACGCTACTGGTATCTCAAGCGCAGTCAGCTGGTGACAAGATAGCTCCGATCCGCTGGGAAGTGGCTGTCCTCGGATTTTGCCTCTGGCTGTATGCCTCGGTGGGAGTCAAGGTGCGCTTCTGCCCGAGCCCTCATTGTCTGGGCAATGTATGGCATGCTGGCAGCCTTGACAGACACACCAATAGCTCTTCGATAGTGATATGCAAGAAGACGATATACTGAATAAGCTCGGATTTATGCGTACCGCCGTGCGGGATGTCGGGATTGCCTGTATCGCAGCCATCGTTCCGCGTGAACCATTCGGACCTATGAGTTATTGACATGGAACAGCAGGTGTTGTTCATGTGGGCCTTGTGATTTGATTTGTAGGTGAGACGGGCAGAGACGATTGTCGCCTTACTGCCTTGGGGTCGGACCTACCGAGCGCCGCAGCTTTGAAATCCCTCGCACTTTGATCCCAGTTGAGCTGAATAGGCGAGGTCAGACCAACCATGTCTAGTCTCTGGTTCGAATCCTCCGGTACCATAAACCTCGCGAGAGACGGTCGGTCGTCTTCACCCAGAGTTAACCCATTCACTGGCCATACAGACAGCATGAATACATCTGGTCAGATACCATATTTGATACGTATACATTCTCCTTGTTACAATCATTATTGATATTCTCTTCTGCGACTTTTCTTGCACCACTCAGTTGGAACAGCACGCGCCTGCACCGTTCTCTGAGAACGCAGGCACACTGCGATGATCATTTGCTCCTGGAACATCCATGCTAGGGTTGCTCTTGAAGAAATTTGTCGGCCTGAACAGGAGGTTGACGTGCTCGACAGGCATCACAGGCCAATCCTCTGGTCTCGGGATGTGGGTAACACCTGGTACAGACCGGTCAGTGCATATGCACCTCCTAGACGGCATTGTAAATCACTCACCGGTGGTGATGTACACAAGGACATCCTCCTCAGCAAGGTTGTCGTCACCTTGCACCCATTTCTCCAGCGAGTCCTCGGGCGCCTCCCTGGTCTGCGGAACATACTTGCCCGACGGCCACATTCTTCCGCCCTTGGGTGTCTCGACATCCTTGACGACCCACAGTGGCTTCTTTGCGAACGGTGCCCTGACCGCGACAACGCCATCCTCGCGTCCCATAAGCTTCGTGGCGGCGCCTTTAAGCCCAGTGATGCTGTATCCGACGAACTTGCCCGAGTACGGGTGCCGCTTCTTAGGGTTGATGATCGACCATCGGCGATCCTTCTCGTAGCTCACTTCGCGTGCGCCTTCGCTCTGGACGGTGATCGGGTGATCCGCAGTGAGGAACGCATTGCCGGCATAGTTGGCTATAGACCCCGTCGGCGCATCCGGCAGAGGTATGATATCGGTCTCCACCACCGTGTTGTGCAGACCATCAATCATGGGGTCGACCCTGATCGAAAACAGGTGCTGGTGATAGTGCGCGTTGATGCCCGGCGCAAGGGTCGTCCCAAACCTGGTAGGTTCGTCCTCGTTTTTCACGTAGACCTGGACAATACCCGTCAGCCGGACCTCGAGCTCGATGTTCCCGTCTTGGTAGAAGTAGTAATTCCAGATGTATTCTGCGGGTCAGGATGTAGTCAATGCCATGTAATCATTGCGGATCACTGGCGGAACTGACCGTAGTTGGCCAGAGTGCATATCATACTGACGACCAATCGACGACTGCGCACAGCATGAGCGCGACCTCCCACACGGAAGTCAGTATGCTTCCACAACAATCCAGCATCCTCTTCGTGGATGCAGACCACGTTCTTGATCACAACCGCACTCCCGTCGTGAGCGACATACGAACCAGGCTGGAGGCCGTATTCAGCAAAAGGAGCCTCCTATCGTGCCACAGCTCCTTACCAAGTAATGAATCGTTCCGAGGCAGTCACAGCCCAGCGAAAGCTCGTTGGCCATGGTACCCATGCCGTATTCGCCACTAAGCACCGTCAGCCACGCGGAAAGAAGGGCACACAGCTATAACTCACACGTCGAACGCATGTTTCCTTGGGTGAGGGTGCTCCGGCGCACCATACGGGACGACCATCTCAGCGAGGGAGAGGCGATAGAAAATCGGCCGTATATTCCCATCGTCGTTGTAAGTGATAGTAGAAAGCGCAATTCCCTCTCGATGGTGGAACGCTGTTACCTGCGTGAGTCGCCGTGTCCGATGGTTCGCCTTTTTCTTGACTTACCGATGTGCATCTTCCACTTCTGCCATTCCAACTCGTGGCCGTCGATCTTGAAGCTGACACCCTCCGGCTGCACGACATGGAGCGGTTTCAAGTCGTCCCTTACTTTGAAGTTGTCGCCAGGCTTCTCTGCCATGAGATCCGGGAGGAAGTCCCATGCCTCGCGTGGCGGTGGGACTCGCTCGCGCTTGGATGCGGCCAACGAGTCTTCTTCCAACGGCGGCGGGACAGTCGTCGGAGCTGAGAGCTCAAGCTCAAGCCCGCTCTTAGTGAAGAACGAGTTGGGCGATGCTTTCGGCAGATACCGCGGAGGGAAGTCGATATGAATGACTTTCTGAGCGATGGAGTCGACTACAGGTATAAAATCCTAACACCAGCGTCAGCGAACAATCAAGTGCGATCGCTGTAATTCATACCATAGGGTGGGCATACAAGTTGTCATGACGAGAAAACCGTGCAAATAGGAGGGCCTGTTGAATGCGGCTCTTCTTCGGGAAGCGCGAGTCGTAGCCGATGGCCCATCCATCGGCATGCAACTGCTCTGGCAATACACCTGTTCGCGAGTGCGCTGTGAGTGCGGCCTATAACGTTACGCACACTGATGCTTTCTCACCAACATCGGCAGCAAGCTTCTGCACTTGCTTGTCTTCCCGGATGATCTTTTCGCACAGGAGAAGCTCTTCGACGGAAATCTGAGGCTGCACGCCCTCAGGTAACTTCTCGAGCGTTTCCACCTCCCATTGCCCATCCTTGAGAGCTAGAACGGTATTGTACGCATGTCTGGATACGCAATGAGCAGCTGGGGGCCTTCATGAAGAGGCAAGCGAGATACCCTGTAACGACATCAAAGAACTGATCGAGCCACCGATCGCGTTAGGTTAGCCGTTACGGGCCAGCGTAGATCATCAACAACGTACATCGACCTCAGCCTTCCTTATGATTTCCGTTGCGCGCTCGGGTTTCTCGCCAGGGTCGAGCGGGATTCCCAGGTAAGCGAGGACAGCTTTCTTAGGGGGTGGAAGGAGATAGCTTGTAATGAACCTAATGGCCTTAATGTCTGTATTCGCTGCGGTATGGCGCCGCACACCGAGCGACACTGCGACGATCTAGATGGATGATTTGTCAGGCCTCCGGATTCCGCATCCCGTGGTACTGACCTCATCGGGAGTCAAAGGGTCCAAAGGGTGCTTGAATGAAGGCAGCTTTGCGTGAGTAGTGTTCTGGACGGATGTCGCTGTGCTGGGGGCCAGGTTCGTGTCCGCCATATTGCTGGGAGATGATACAGAGTTCACACTGGCGCTCTCAAGACAGGAGCACTACTTATACTCAAAGGCGGCGGACTCGCGCGTCCATTCGAGCTTGATCGACTTACGTTTCCAGATAGCTTGAATTGAATGTCAACCCGAGGCGCGTGCCACAATTCTCGGCTAGATAACGATAACGACAAATTCAAGTCTCACTAGCGCTCTCGCTTTCGCCATTTGCGTCACTGGCAGCAAGTGTACTGGACTATTTGGACGCACACAGGAAATGATACAACCATGCTTGTGACATCGGAAATATTCTTTCAATATGTCGTTGAAAGCAGCCAGTAATATCCCAGAACTGAGGATCAAGATATCGATGCTCACTTCCATCGCCTCCAGCACATTCCAAGTTCGGTGAATATGCCTTGAGCCGGCACAGACAGGAGGCAACACTTTCAGAAGACTCCCTGCTGATGGGCTCAACACATCCGGCATTTCTTTCCGCCCTGGGCGCATAGGTCTTCGGTCAGGGAGCCTCTCAAGCGCACCAGTGGACTGTCGCACACTCGACAGGAACTCGCTATTGTACTGATGGCACGACACGCTAGATTCAAATGCTAAAGTCGTGCGTTGAAGGCAGGCAGCCAGCGAAGTGAGTGGAAGGATTATGACAATAACGAAATGTATTAATTACGAACTATGTACTTGAGCCTGTCCCAGTGGCAAGAACACACCCCTTTTTCGAGCTGCCCTAGCCGTGATACAGGGTATAAACAAAATACCAATGCTTGCTATCTATATATCACAAATGCTCCAGAGTCATAACAAAATGCCCGGCGACTCCAGTCCATGCGGCGTTGGCACCGTCAGACATGGAGATTCTGTATGTAATTTTTGCTCGCCCGTGCGGACGATATGTACCGATTGCAAAATAGCGCATCGAAAGCACAGCAATCAGGCTAGAGCGACGGTGTAAGAAAGCGGTTACACGATCGACTTTACCAGTAAACCCTCTAGCCTGCAGTATTCTGGCACGATAGCGGCGTATGACATGAACGCATCCACGTCGGGCTCTGCAACCTTGACGAGGCCGAGTTGGACCTCCGCCTCGGACGTCGGCATTGCAGTGACCGGAGTCAATGCGGCTGGGGTGGAAGGTACTGCAGCCTCTACCCCAGTCCCGTCCGCGTTTACGGTATTGGTGCCACTGAGGTCGGGTGTGGTGTAGGCCGTCGAGGGCGTATCTATCGTGCTGCCCGTCATCGTCGTGCCGGCGGTGGAGCTAGTGAGCGTTCTCAGTCGGCCAAGATCTCCCTCCCCGAAGCCAGAGTTCATCCCAAAGGAGCTCTGCATTCCACCCATTTTGTCCATCTCTTCCTCCTCTTCCTCTTCCTCGACGAGGATTGTGGCTCCAAGAGCTGAGCGCGGCCCATGTCCGTAGGGCGTGCTCGCGCCGCTTCCTGTAGCACTTGGCGCCCTGCTGTTGGTGCCCGGAGCGTTCACGTTTGTCCGAATAGGCACACCGCCTGCTACTGCCCAGCGCTTTGCGAGGAGTCGCTTAATCTCTTCCTCGAAGCCACCGCGGCCGGTACCAGCGGGCGTGCCCTTCTCCTTGCCCCACACCCATCGGGCAACGTAGGCACCTCCAAGCGCTGCGCGAGCGGGGAATCCTGGGGGCGGAGCGTTCCGGTGTGGCACGACTTGCGCTGCATCGACCTGAGTGGTAGGTACCAAGACCGGTGCATTGAAGACATCGCCCGCAAGATTGGCGATTGACGGGAAATTGGCGGCGGCGCCAGTGCAAATGACGCGTGAGGGAAGCGGAGTGTAGTCGTATGGATCGAAAGGAAGGCCCATGTGGTTGGCTGTGTTGCTTGCACTGCGTTTTTGCTGGGAGATAGGGCTGGGAGAAGAATTTGCGCCACGACTGCGCCCTGCATTGGAACCGAGTACACCCGTAGCTGCCAGACGAGACCAGCGGACGCGGAAGGACAAGATCTGGCTTTCGAGTAGACATCGGGGGTTCGCGCGCAAATCGCGGAATTCGTTGACTTTCACCCCGGTTTCGAAACGGTAGATTCCCTTCACATGGGAAAACGGGTAACTGTCCGCCTGCAGAATCCAGAAGCTGAAGAGCTTGTCATCAAGGCTGTCGCAAACGTCCGTCAATTTAATCGAGTTTCAACTCCGCGACAACCCGAACGTACCCAATCGAGCCGCCAGGGGGAACGATGGCTACTAAGCGGTCGAATGCGCTCCAACTCTTCGTGTACATGTCACGAACGAGGGCTCTTGGTACATCTGCATTCCTGCAGCACGCTCAGTCAACTACCCTGTCACTGACTGGTACAGGACCTGCAAAGGCAGCCGCAAGGAAAAGACCAGACGTACCTGCTGGTCAGCATTGCGACATAACGCTTCCTCTCGCTAGCATCCTGGGCGGGGTGTGGGAACAAAGTGTACAGACGAGTTGGTACATAGTTCGATGCCGGAGCAAGCATAACATCCATGGGCCCAAAGGACAGGACGGCATCGGAAGGCGTTGGGCACACAGAGAGGTATGTCGAAAGATAGTCTGCAGTGAAAGGCGTAACGATAGCGTCTGTGACCGACATATCATTGACAACCGTCCAATAATCACTCCAGACCACCACGCACCAGGATCGAACCCATATCGGTCCACCAGGTATCGCGAAACGTTCCCAATTCTCCTCCGCCCTCCTGAGATATCCACATCGCCTAGCCAACTCCAGATACGCCTACCTTCCTCCCGATTCCCGCCTACGATCTCCATGACCTCGTCGTCCCAATGGCTCGGAACGCCGCCTGCTTGTGCGCCGCTGTGCGCCCAGAGGCCCGTCGCACACGCCTCCGCCTCCCCCATGCCAACGAACGCGCCACAGACAAGGCTAGCGAGGAACGAGCTAGCAACCTGCACGCGCCCCGTGCGTGCCCATACCTCTGGCCACGCTTCGCGTACGCGGAGCAGCTGCGCTGCGAGGAGCGACGCGTGCGCACACGTACCGACGCGAGCTGCCATCAGGTCGGGCCCGCCCAGCGCGGCCTCCAGTGCGAGCGCATGCGTGTGCGCCGACGTGTCCTGCGCAACAGGCGAGTTGGGCAACGAGAATGACTGAGGGGATATCTGCGCGTGCACGGGCAGCCGCGGATCAAGGTTCTGCAGTTGCGGCATCTGGCTCGCCTTCCACCATACGAGCGCATGCTACGAGCGAGCTGGACATGAGACCAGTATAAACGAAAACACGAACGACATACCTGCGCAGCCCCGCCAATACCTTTGATCCTCGACACGTCGTATGCCTTGCTCAGTTTCTCCAAGAGTACATCTGCAGGGCCACGTCGATATATTGGGAAGGTGGGTCGCACGGGGTTCAGATCAGCGATTGGAACTAAGAACGACAGGGATCTGGTCCCGCGAAACACTCACCGAAGGCCTTCATCCACATCTCCACCGGCGTGGTGTATGCATCACCAGGCGTGGTGAAAATGCCGCCCTGAGTCCTGAGTGACCGATCCATAGTCCTTCAGCAGCCGCTGTGTGTCAATGGGGACTGAAAAATACTCACTGGTATTCCGGCAGCTCGGTGTCGAAGTCTACCGCCTCTACGCCCACCAACTCCAGGTTGTCATCGACAATAGATGCTCGAAGCTGGTCAGTCGCAAGCTCGAGGCCCAGGAAGAACGCTCCCATTGCTTTGGGCGGCATGGAGACGACGGTGAGCTTCAGAAATTGTGGGGAGACAGCGGTTCGTCGAGATCTCGAGAAATTAGGATGGTCTTCCCACCCGTCGTCGTCGCCCGTGTCAAAAGTGTTAGGGACGGTGGTCGTGAGTAAGAAACGAACGGGAAAGACGCCTGCTAGAACAGAAAGCGGTTCTCAGGCTTTCGTTCGCGTCCATCAGCATCACCCATGGCTTGCTCCGGCGCCAATGTTTGCCTCATGTTGCTCGATTCCCACGGCATGGAAATCCCCGACCTACAGCCTGATTCCCGCCACAATTGTCGACAACCAGAAAGGATGGAAGGATGTTAATGCAGCACGGGTATATTCTGGCAGTAATCGTGGACATACACTATTACCCATGCAGCCATCTTCAGCTTAGGTACGCACCGAGGCAATTCAGACCTATATTGTTAGCAAGCATCACGCTATGGCTTCAGGAAGAATATATGACGGGCTTGCCGTCCCCATCACGGTAGTATCATTAGGTTGTAGGCATATAAGGACGGAACTCTACGACTGACCCTCATTATTCTGAGGTGGGAGTCCCAAGCGCGAAGACAGATTGTCGGTTGTCGGCGACGGCAAAGCGATCGCGAGGTGTGGCCTATGTAGTATGCGATGTTACGCAAATTACTATTCAGACGACCTGCCCAACGATCACCACGGAGGACTTAGGTCGGACGCACTTTGCTGGCGGCATGCCGTCTCACCGTATAGCAATTCATCCTAAACATAAACGTTGACCAGGAATTGTCAGCATGTGCTTACAAGAATGTCTCTCAAGTTTAGGGTGAGCGTCCTGGGGTTTGCTAATTGCAGATCAGCACCAATACGGTGTCAGCAAGGTATGTAAGGCCTGAAGGCCTACTTAGCTGCTTCAGCATCCATTCCAGGCCCTTAACTCTCCGGTACTCATTGTGGAAATATGCACCGCGAAACAGCGCACTCGTTAAGCCTCAATAAATCAGCATATCTACCATCTGGTCCTATTGGGACGCAATGCCGTGACGACGCGTTCGACGCGTTCGTGTCTGATCACGTGTAGCGCGTCGTGTAGCGTCTGTTTGGGTTTTGCCTTCGGACAGGACGGCGCCACACGCCCTCCTTTATCCTTACGTTCTTTGCGACATAACAATATGTCAAGCCCTTTCCCACTTGACTCAAATCGCATCGACTGAGCTTCCTTATTTCAATAATCAACAAGTGTCATTTTCTGTGAGAGAGATAAAGCGACTATGGGCTGTTCACGTCAAGGTTTCAGGAGCTAAAGCACATCTTCGACAACGCTATCGAAGTTAGAACCTAGGAAACAAGGGTACACGGTACATTGGTATCGTAGCTGTTGGGGAGCGTAGTGATCCCTCTTGTGTTTCAGCAGTGAGTGGTGCTGTGTGCACACCCCATCCATTTTATTGTGTATAGCAACAGGGCCGAGACGAGTCGTTTAGCCTTCTGGATGCTAGTTGACTCATAATGACGGGAGGTAGGGCCTAATATGCTAGGTTGTCAACCTTGGAACCTTGCAAGCGTCGATGAGAGACTACCATCTACAACCACACATCGACATTAAATGCTACCCAGCACGCGGCGTATTGGTTCGTCTTCTCCACGCAATCACATAGAAAGATATCGCTGCTTTGGATTCAGCCAACGATCATAGCCGCATTGATTGTGAGTACAGCATCTCTCGGTGCTCATGTTACATGCTGATTACAGCCCGCTCATGCTACATACGGTCATACATTCTACTTCGGTCTCAACGGATTCTCCCGATCATCGAGATTCAAGCTGAGCAGCAACAACGCATTGTCGTTCATGACATCGCTTTGTTCGTCTTCGTCCTCGTCGTCGGCAACCCGCGCCCATTCCGCCTCCGTGAATGCATAGACGGCCGCACTCGCAAGCCGGCGTTCACGCGTCACCTCTGCACCGGCCTTCCAGCTCAGGTCGTCTAGAGTCAGCTCCCCGGAATCGAGGCGGAAAGCAAGCGATCGGATGCACGTGTAGTCGTCGTCGCTAAAGTCGGGAACGGGCAGCCGCGTGCGGGAGACATTGGTCAAGGCATCGCACACAAAGCAGACGCCCTTGGACGAGTTTGTCCACCTGATGGGTGACTCCGCTTCCTGGACGTCGTTGGACGACATTGTGTGTGCGTGATAGGTGGCTGCCGACGTGCTTTCAGACAAGGGACTATAAGCGCAGCGGGTGAGCGTTTGTATCGAGTAGTTGGAGACTGAACTTACGAAGATATAATTTCACAGAAACGAGGCGTACTTGTGAGGGTGGTTCTGTCAAGATGCGGTCGCGCTAGGTAAAAGCTTAAGGATACTTCTGTAAAGGTATTGGGCGCGCTAGATGCACACGATTCGAGAGATCTGATGTCCTGACCGAGAAGCACGATGTTTCAGGTTCAAGAAGATCGTGGGAAGATGGGTCTTCGCTGGCTTGGATTACAGGATGGGCGCGCTCTGTACTTTGTTAGATGCACTGCAACATGATACATGTGCTCGGGTTGTCATTGATCAGAAGTTATAATATCTAGCGCCGTGGCCATCGATCATTGCTCCTGGAGGTGGTACAAAGGCGCCCAAAAGCGAGGTGCGCGTATGATGCTGCTTCCGTCAAGATGTGTTCACGCTAAGTACGTAGATGCTAAGGGCGACTAGCCCGAGGCGGCATGAAGATTCAGTTCTCGAGAACATTGTGGGAAGATGGGTTGCGTTATTTTATCCGCCTGTGCGTGTGGTCCGTGCTGTGTTGTATCATCCACTGCCACCTCTGCTCGCAGGGGCAGTCTTTCGTGTTGTGCCATTAATCGTTGCCGCTGAGCCACCCGCTCGCCGCCTCCGATCATGCAGGATATGACAGAGACTTGTGATACCCAGGTCGAATCCCTTGTTCAACATTACTGATTCCCAGACATCATATAGTGATTTGCTAGGAAGATGCGTACGTAGGCCCCACTTGCGTATGCGGTACATGGTGCTGAGCACATCAGACTACGATCTTCGTGCGGAAGCCTGAAAGAATGGTTGTTAGATCATGAATCGTGTGCATGCTAAACGGCTGTGCTCGGGCAAAAGAAGGGCTCGTTTGGCCTGCGGGCCCCACATAGGCGAGTCCGACCCACACTGCTCTACGAGAGATGATACATGAGACAGGTAACAACTCCCCTAGTTCCCCTTGCTCACAGGTCTGGCGAAGGAGGGAAGGTATTCCCGGTGATGGCCAACTCGGCTGAGCGGGGACGGGTCCGACGAGCAGCCGCTGGTTGAGCAGTATATAAGGAGCGGGCAGACAGTCTGCATTCCTTATCGCTGTGCGACCTTATTCCTCTTCACGTCTTAGTTCTCTTCATAGGTGCTGCGCGGTAAGTGGATGTCCCTG